TCTTGTTTGGACACGTGCTGGAGCCGCTTGAAATTCACAAAAAGAGGGCAGTACCATGCTGACGAGGCATTTGTGTTGGAGGCACTGTATCAACTGCAGGGTCCCTTAGGCCGTGAGTGCAAGCGGCAGGTTCTTCATCGACCGCTCGGCTGAGCACTTGATCCTGGGATCGAATCCTGGTGGATGGCTGCGCGCAAAAGGTGCGAAGCCATTGCGCAGAGGCATCCTAAAGGCCAGGCAGAACAAATGAAAGCAAGTGTTCAAGGATTTTCCCTTGTCTCCCATGTATAGCACGTTTTGGGACACCATGTGGACAGAGTCGTGGGCTTTTTAGCCAGATTCTTGATGGATGGGTTGCCTGCCCAAGCGGTCGAGACACACGAGCATGCAAAGCATGGAAAGGGGGGATGAGCCGTAATCAGCGGGTCGAAGGAGACCTGAGCTGGCGACTGTTCCAGACCAACACCTTTTCCACTGGGAGAAAGCTGACGCAAGCGGACTCCCTGGCGTTCCTTCAGCCCGATATTTGGGAGTTCGCTGCTCGAGCATCATGTCTGAGCCAAAGAGGCCGGCGAGCGGATGGGCGTTGTGCTTGACTTGAACTAGAGTCAGGTATCCAGGTAGCGCTCAAACACCAGTATTGAGTGAGGCTCAAAGCTTGCAGTGAGATTGCTTGCCGAAACTTTGATCTGCAGACCTGTTTCGTGAAACGTCCATCATGCTGACACAGGACTTGCGACAGCCCACATGTTACCCATCTATCAGTATCATGTTGAAGGTGTGTTTTGTTCTTCAGAGTCGGTTTGTACAAACATACTTAGCTTGCAGGTAATGCATGTTTTGAGACAGGAACTAGCGACCTTCTCTGGCCGAAAGCACAAGGCTAAGCGCAACATCATGGCAAAAGCAGTTCCTTGACAATTCACCCCGCAAACCATGAATGTCCAGCATGTTGACTCACATTTGCCAACCATGAGTGTGATTTGAGTAGAGGCCAAGACAGGAAACTGCTACATGCAAAGGTATATGGACCAGTTTGCTGCATCTCGCTGCCCATTCAAAAGGAACCTGACGCCGTTTATTTTCTCTTCCCGCAGCTGACTCAAAATCGTGGACACCATTTTGGTAGTTGAAAGGGAACCGAAATGGAACCAAAAGAACCTGATGGTTGGTAAAGACAAAAACCCACACAGAAACCCAACAGATCTAATCATACCTTCCCTGATCTTCAGGGATCCAAAAAGACTGGGAATTTCCAAGGAGACGGATCGGTGAAGAAAACGAGGAGTCAACCTCTCGACCCTTCGCCGACGTTCGACCCGTGGCCAGGGCCTTGCGACGCTTCGACCGAGAGGTCGCAGCAGTGCTGGACACCTTGTTGCAGCGTAGGGCGCTCGGATGGATTCGCCATGCCTTTTGCCAGATGTGGCTGTGGTTGTCAAAACCGTTTTGGGATACCATTCTGGTTGGTAGGTGAATTCACCACCCATTTTAGAACCTATTTTAGTGGGGATTGGGATGTTCACTGGGGGTACGGGAGTTTGACCCATGGCCATGTAGGGTGGTAGATGCCGCAGATGCTGCGGAAGTGCGATAGTTGAGTGGAGTTGCTGGGAGCTAATTGGTACTTGCTGATTGCTTCTGGCGCTTGCGGATGGGGTGCGGCAGGCATTTCGGAGAATCGCATTAAAAGATGAGCAGGAGGATCGGTCACTGTTGTTCAGCATCAAATATAGAACTATCATGACGCAGTTAGGCTGGAAGTTGCAGTATGGAGCTGCAGACATTGGATCTCAAGACTGGGAAAATACTGTAGCTGCACTATGCATCTAATGTTCTTCAGAGCACAACGTATTCTCACCATGACATGAGCATGACGTGAAAGCCATGGCCGAAATTGTCACGGTGCCAGCTGATGCAGAAGGCCTAAATCCACAGAGGGACTTGGACAAGCTCGCAGACGATTGCAAGGACCCTGGGCCCGAACGCTCCGCGCTGGCGAAGGATGCTCTTTTCGCCACGAGTGATCAGTGAACGGGTGAGTGATGTCAAAGGTGGAAACGGGCAAGAAGAGAAGAACAGAAGTAATATGTTTACTTCATGCACCATCCTCGGCCATGTTGGCATTGGGTGTATGTCAGTGTGTGGCTCAAATGGGAGCGACCCTCCAGCTCTGAAGTTCAGAGCTATCCAAACCTGGCCAGGTCTGCTTTCATGTGGTGCAAACCTGTCCAAACACGCAGGTCTCAAGGTGTCCCATTCTTCCGATGCAGCCCCAGCTACGTAGCCTCGCCACAGACTGGCAGTTGACGTTTGCGGCTTGCCAACCATTGCTGACTTTGGTTGATCTTATGAATTGTCAGGCCCTGTCAATGACATGTTTCACATCCAACGTGCGGTTGGTCAAGTCACTCAAAAAATAAACCACCAGGATATGGACCGCAGGTTTTAGCCCTTGGTTCCATTTACCAGGGCAACCCATTTACCTATTCTTGACCACCACAGCCATGTCACCACGCGCTGATCGCTGAGCTGCGAGCGAAGGACTTCTCCGGGGAGCTGCTTCGGCGCCTGGCGCTGCGCAGCTCCGGGAATCTGCTCTCATCCTGGGAGCGGGCCGCTTAGGCGAAGCACAAAATCCACTTCGCAGCAGTTGGAATAAATGGGTGTGGCTCAAATTAAACAGGAGGGCAATGCGGCAAACCGCAGGTCTTGGTCCATGTTTCCACTTGCCAGGGCTCCATTTTGGTACCGGTTTTTTGAGCCACAGCCAAATGACAGCCTATTCATACAGTACAGGTTGATTAAAAAAAGAGAAGAAAGAAACAGTGGAGCGACCGGAAGGCGAAGGGGAATGAGAAATGGGATGACCCTGAGAAACCGTCCAACTGGCGGTTTCCTTTCAGGGGAAACCAAAAGCCTGGGTTCATTCAACCAGATTTTGTGCTGAGCACCAGCAAGTTTGGAACATCCAAATCACGGCATGCAGTCCAAGGAATGGTGCCTCCTGACACACAACTTCCTGGCGTTTTTTGCCTCACGCACTGATCTGGCGGTGAGGAAATGCCTGCTCTTGACTTCCATCCAGGACAGAAAAGCAACAACTTCCCAGCGAGCCAGCGTGTGAAATCTAAAGGTTTGCGACCAAGAAAGCCTGGAATCTGCCTGGAATCCGCGAGGACGTCAAGCACGAGGGCCGCAATTTGCGGGTCTCCCTGGAGCAGGGTGGAGAGGAGCCTTTGAGGGCTGATGACAACGAAAACGTGTTGGTTGGTATTTGGAGGGAAGCTCAAAGGAACCTGTTGCCATTTGAGGCACACCCACCCAGCGTGTTGTCTTGACTGATACATGTCAACAACATGGGTGATTGAGGCATGTTGATGTTCACCCTGAAGCCCACGTGATTAGAGCTCTCATGATCTTGACGCCGACGTCCGCAACTTGTGATCCGCACAACTCAGAGCGACGCATGCGGACCATGGTCACGAGTTTGAGGTGGCTGAGCTTGCAAAGCGCAGGAGGTTCTGCGCATGCCGGAGAAGTCCCAGAGTGCAGATGGTTGGGCGGATGAGATCAGGCACAGAATGTCGAGTGTCACCCGAGCAGGTCATCAATCATTCAAGCAAGCAAGCAATCAACCAACCAACCAATCAATCAATCAATCAATCAATCAATCAATCAAAAGATCACAAGATTAGTGCGTCAGCTGCTGTAGTCCGTCAAAGGTAATCAAGCAACCAACCAAACAAACAAACCCAATGACGTCCAATCACATTGAACAAAATCCATAGATCAGATGGATGCAATCCGACCAGATCCCATCCCGTCCGATCCAATCAGCAACGCAAGCGCAGACAAAGACACAGACACAGACACAGACACAGACACAGACACAGACACACACACACACACACACACACACACACACCCACACCCACACCCACACCCACACCCACACCCACACCCACACCCACACCCACACCCACACCCACACCCACACCCACACCCACACCCACACGCACACGCACACGCACACGCACACGCACACGCACACGCACACACACACAACCAAAGCGATCGAGCAGCCAAGCAAGCAAGCAGACCTATGAAGTCACCAATTGCTGCCCAAAGAATCAGCACACCAACGAACCAACAAGCAAATTGCATCTTAGTGTTTATTTGTGTTTAGATTCAAGACTTGGCACAGATAATGTTTAGCTAGTTTCAGATTCCATGAACAATGAGTCCCTAGGAATGCTTTACAAGGGCCTTTCGAAACTGTGCAGCATGTGAGAAGCATTTGCGGTGAATTGTCCAAATGTTACAAGTGAGCCAACGCATCTAATACATCACTGCAGAAATTAGGTTAATCACAGGGGTTGCCTTGTTCCCCTATCTTTATATACAGGGCAGCCACGGCGGCACGCCTCTAGCTCAAGTTTCAGCCCCCTCATTGGGACCGATGGAACATGGCATTAGCATGTTTGATTGAGAGCATGCCTGATTTCCTTGTTGGTATGTCTGAGAAATGGCCATGGCTGGCATATTTGTTCCCGCACCTTACCCGCATTGAAGCCATTGCTGGCCATTTTCAAAAGGGGCATGTAGTTCCATGAAATGTTGAGTTGGCACGTGTTCGAACGTTCTTGACCTGTCGAGGCGTATGGCTGTCTATGAACCCTTTAAGGCTTTCGGCAGCCATCTTGGCCCACTCAAGCTTCCTGTGACCAAGCCATGCCCGTTGCCGCAACCGCATGGCGGTGGTTACCATCGGCATGTCCGGACGTGTGGCGATGAGCCAAGTGGAGTTTGAGAAGTGGTTGGATGCACAGCCTCGAACGGGCGGGGCGTGCTTCTACGACGCCTGAGACTCATCTCGACTTGGTACTGTATGAAGCTCTTTGTGGCAACTCATACACGGTGCGCCATAAACAATTGTTAGTGTTCCTTGTTTCCCTTTAGATACTTTCTTAAAGATTAGAGCATGGGTTCAGTCTAAGGCGACGGGAGGTGGCCCAAAGCGAGCATCTCGCGAATTTCCGGCAGCTGCAGCTGGCCGGGAGCGATGCAACTCCGCTGGGGCCAGAAAGCGATTGGCAGACTTTGCCCTTGGTGGCAGTGAAGCGGGAGTGCTTGACCACCAAAGGCTGGGGTCTCGGAGTTTGCGGATGTTGCATAGCTTGCAACTAGTGACTCGCGGTCGCCACTGGGTATACAATTGTATCTCAAAGCAGCAAGTTGCCATTGGAAGAACGGCACAGCACCCTCAAGGCGAGGTTCGAATTCGACATCCAAAATGACATGTGTGACGCAACTTCTGAATTGATGTAACATCTGGTTTCACAACTTCCTACATTGACATGACGCAACTTTCTGCAGAGTGCGCGTTGACATTGGGCAGAACGGGATCAACCTAGAAACCCTGGTTGGTCCATTCCACAGGCAAGGAGCTTCACGAGGCAGCTGGTGCGGGCAGCGCAGCGGCCGTGATCTCTTTGCTGGAGGAGCCGCAGGACCCAAATCAGATAGATGACGCTGGTGCATCAGCCTTGCACTGGGCCGCGAAGAACGGCCGACAAGAAGTTGCTCGCGTACTGTTGGAAGCTGGCGCTGACGTGGGCAAGACCAACAGGAGCGGAGCCCCGCCCTTGCATTTTGCTGCACTCGAGAACCATCAAGAAGTTGTATCGCTCTTGTTGGACGCTGGAGCTGACCCAGACGCCGACACTTGCAACATATCTATCCTGAGGCTGGCTACACAGACGAGGAATAAAGGGCTCGCGAGTCTCATGCCATGCTGAATGCTGGTGCTGACAGGGACAAGGCCGACGGCTATGGAAGCACATGCATGCATTTGGCTGCACTGAAGAGCTATCCCGAGATGATAGTATGTTTGTTGGAAGCTGGTGCTGACCCAAACAAGCCTGACAAAGGTGGAAGGACACCTTTGCATTTGGCTTCAGAGTGGGGGAGCTATGAAGCTGTACACTGCTTGTTGACATCCACGGAAATACGCCTGTGCACTTGGCCGCATACCATGGCCATCAACTGATCCTTCGTTTCTTGCTGGACGCTCGTGCTGACCCTCAGAACGGCAAGCATGGCTGCAAGACGCCTTTGCATTTATCTGCATTGACATTAGGTGTCACCCGGCTGCATGCTGGAATTCCAAAACACGGCAAAAGTGAGCTCTGCGGTCGAGCCGCGCCTTCAGACGACTTCTGTACTGTGGCCCAGATGATTAGTAACCCCAGTCACATATGTATGTTGGGGACACTGTACTGGACAGGCCATCTGAGCAGAGCATCAATACGGGCATCTCGTTTTGAGGGTTCTTTCAGGAAGACCAGCAGGAAAACCCACGATTTTTCAGAGGGCCCCCAAACAAAAGACAGGCTCACTTCAATTCACGGTGCCATAGAACTGGAAGGGGTTCTGTTAAAGGAAACCACAGGGGATGGTTTTGCTCGGGGTCAACTCATTCAGCAAGAACTCTTTGGAAGCAAGTTGGGTGGCTTGTCCCACCAGAGCCTCGAACCAATCCCGGTTGACGAAAGTTGCTTCGGGTCGTACGCGGGAACTAGTCCAACGGCAAAAGAACACCGGCTTACACAACCGTTGCGAGGTTGGGCCAACCGCCTGGTTGTTGAGAACTGAGATCGTGGTCCTGCTAGCTCCCCCAGTTGGATGCAGAAGATCTCCTGTTGTAGTCTTTGTTTTTTCCGTGGTTGGAACAACCTCACAAGAGGTTGCTTGGCATGAATACGTAAATCCACCTAAAACTAGTATCCGCAAAGGGCCCCGCTTTAAAATGTTGGGGGTTGAAATGGAGAATGCTACTTAAACATATTTAACATATTTGTTTGACCCAGTCTCAGTGGACTGAAATTAGCCGTCCGCGACCCCTGTGAGGAATTGGCCCAATCCGGAGCTCCCTTCTATGCTCAAAAGTATACGACTAACTCACCACTTGGCTGCGGCGAAAAAAACGAATGTACCAAAATGGCCCCTTGGTAAATGGAACCAACGGCTAAAACCTGCGGTGTTTTTTTCCCCTAGCTCCTTAGTTTTGAGCCACACCCACTTCTGCCTACCAAGCGTCGGTTTGCCCCACTTGGCCTCCAACGACCTTGTCTCAGGCGCCGCTCGGAGAAGCTCCGCGCCGCGGGGCAGGGGATGATGCCCTGCGGCTCGGCGAAGAAAGCCTCGGAGGCGGTGGAGCTACTGCGGATGGTTGCGAAATCCGCTTCTCGCCACCATGACATGAAACCATGGTTGAAACCATTTGTTCTTGGCGGGGGAAGCATCATTCCACGACCATGGTTGAAACCATTTTTTGTTGGTATCATCAGAAGCCAGGGTTTGTTAGGTGGTGCGAAATGGATTTCGTTCATGCACAGTGTGACGCGTTTGCCCCCCGCTTTGGGAATTAAAACTGGGGGCGTGAGTTTGACCGTTTCTGGGGGTGATCAAAGTCAGAAAATGGGGGTGTTTCCCTTTAACCCATCACTTGGGTGACTTAGGTGGTTACTTTGATGGTAAAAATTGAGGCCAGTAAAAGGTAAGGAATCCCCTTGCAAATGGCTGCGCACATCCGCCCTCAAAATTCTGTACATGTTTCTGGGTTTGGATTGTGTTAATACCGAGGGGTTTTGATTTGGATCTCTTGCGTTGGGCCTATATGGGCCCATGTGCCAGAAAGGATGTTTGACCTGGGATGCTTCCCATCCCAGGTCTGAGCCTTGCAGAAGCCTCGAGCTGGATGCAGGACGCTCGACAAGCAAACTCCATGCTGCGCTCCAGCTGCAGCTTGTGGCGTATGTGCATTCCTTGCAAGGAATGCACTTGCAGAAGAAAGCCCGCAGTTGCGAAGTCCATGTCACCGTTTAGAAACCCTGGTTTCTGACTCAATTCCCCCAACAAAAAGCCGTAAGAAACCTGGTTTAACAACTCCATGGCTCCTAGCCGTGTACGGCAACCGCGCCCTCCGCATCTCCCAAGCGCTTGGGCGTGGCTCTAGAGGAGGCGCTGGCGGAGCTCGCGGGCGTCTCTGAGGAGCGACACCAGAAGGTGGAGGAGGAGATGCGGCGGAAGCGCTGCCAGGCGAAGGATTTGAGACAAGGTTTTTCTGGGGTGACTGCGACTACCAAACAGCAACAAACAAACACTTACCACAAACAAACATTTGACAAGATACCACAAGCAAGAAACACTTGACTGGAAAGCAAAGAAGCAAAGATACGACTGAAAACCACTTGACCATTGGAAAGCCACACCATTGGGAATACCACTAAAGATACCACAAATAATACAACACTTGACCAGTGCCACGAAAGAGATTTCATGCGTTCATGAAATGGCAAAAGTTGGCCATGGTCATTTGGAGGCCTTTCAGGGAACATTGATCAACCCCCACTTGGTGGCATAGTATGGAGTATGGGAGTAATGCAGCCTGAGGTGGGCATTCTGAGATTCAGCTTTGAGATCAAGTGGCTGTGGGTCAAAAAAGGTACTCAAAATGGGTTGCCCTGGTAAATGGAAACTTGAACTACAACCTGCGGTCCAATCCCTGGTGGTTTAATTTTGAGCCACACCCAAATGTTCGATTTTCTGCCAGGACCAGTGTCAATACCAGGAAACCTGGTAAGAAAACCCAGGATTTGCTGCCAGGTGGGGGAAATTTGCTTCGTGTCAGTGATCCTTGCACCCGGGTTGGGGTCATGAGTCATGCCAGCCAATCCGCAGGCCTTTGCCGTGATTTTCCGCGCGACGCTCTCGGGCCGGATACGCGTAGCTGGGCACCCCAGCGAGCGATTTGCAGACGCGGGGTGAGTGTCAGATGGCTCCTGCGGGCTGTTTTCCCCTGAACTTGGCCCATCTTGTGGGATTCAGCGCTGAACAAAAAGTGCGTGTTTGAGAAATTAAATAATCATAGATGAAAGTGTGCGAGCCAACACTTGCACTGATCACCAGATGTGTGGCGCCAAGGTGCAACGGGAAGCATTTGCAGAATTGGCGCTACATGCGAGGATTCAGGACGCTCAGCTCGGAATGCACACTCAGATCTTACTCAGATCTGAAGTATCACAGAAAGAAGACAAGGTGCTCCAAGGGGGGGGGGGGGCAGGAATGACTTCAGGGCTAGAGTTTGGTAAGCTTCTGCCAGGCTTTGCAAGGTTTGATTCATTGATTCGCAGGCAAGCAGTGGCAGAAGCGAAGGCGCCAATCGCCTGACACGCAACTGACGATCTGGAAACGGGCTTGAGCCATGGTTTCTCTTTAAAGTGCCCGCAACAAGTGCAATAGCAAACAAACAAATACACGCAAAGAAACGCACCAAGTCCTCCGCGTTCTGAGGCGCTCTGCCGCGGGCAGCGCATGGCGGCAGCCAATCGCTTGGTGCGTGCAGTGGGGCAGCCCTTCTGGCGCCAGCGCGAAAGGACGAGAGCCTTTGGTGGCAAACCAACTAGCAGGTATACAGAAAAGCCAGGGATACGGGAGGATTTGCCACCCACAGCGCCTCAAAGGGCATGCAGAAGCAACATCCCCAGCATCCCGGGATGCAGCAACAGCATCCCCAGCTATCGCCACAGACCTTCCTGTAGCAGGTAGGCATGGTAGGCCAAAGAGCATGCAGCAACTTTCCAGCATCACCAATGCATCAAAGCAGTGTCTCTACCGCCTTCCCTTTTGAGAGAAACTTCTCGCTGCCAGACGTAGGGCTCGTGTAGGGGCAATGTTAGCTTTAAATCCGGAGTAACGTCAGGGTGACCAATTTCCTAAACATGGCATCCTACTGACCCGTCCGCAAACACGGGTCCCTTGTTGCGGCATCCGAACTTCACAAAGGCTTTTCTGTAGCCTTGCTGAAGACACTTTCTGACAGTACCTCCATTTTAGGAAGATGGTAATGGGGTGGTTTCCTGTTAGTGAAGTTCCAGCTTGATGAAAGTGCAAATCGTCGGCCTTGGACTGCAGGAAGAGCTGTGAGCGGTTGTTTGATGAATGTTGTTGGTGAAAATGAACAGTTGGACTGTGCCAGCTCTCGATGCGGTTTGTCAAAGCCCAATTTTGTGTTTGACCTCATGTTGTTTTTGTTTGGTTCATAGCCTTCAAGAACAAGTTCTTCAGATTATGTCAGTGAGCGTGGGTATGTCGCAATAAAAAGGACTTTCAGTGGCGTTGTTGTTGTGTGCCTCATTCTGAAAGCTACCCAAAAGGGGTCGCCATTTCAGATAACGCTGCTTAAGATTCTGACAGCAGCATTTATCATTCGAGGGTTTTGCTCCAAACGTACTTGTGCATTGTTCGACACATTGGACAGGAGCCTGGCTGCCTGGCGGGCTCATGGACAGGCTGGATGTTTGCTCCGGAAGTGTGCAGTGCTATCAATTTCGCCAAGGACAATTCAGCCATAGAGACTGCAGAGTCACATTTCACAAGTTGCTATCCCCGCAGGCAAAGACATTGGCGGCAGCCAAGGGTTTGCGGCGTGCGCTGGTGTTGCTCTCCAAGCTGCTGAGCGCCTGGGCTAAGTGACTCTGTCACGGCAAGTGGTTTCCTCATCGAAATTTGTTCTCAGCGTCGGTCAACGAAAGCATGACCGGTTAGTTGCAAACCATCAGTTTATCAGTTGATGAGATTGGTTGATGTCGCTTGCTGGACAATTAGCCGATCCCTGTTTCAAGTGCCAGCAATTGTCTACACAATTACTCTTGACTCTTTACCGCTCACATAGGAGAAGCTTCAATCGCGCCAATCCAGCCAGTGCCAGTGTGGAATTCAGCCAATGCAGTCGCCACGTTGCCGCATGGTGACGGACTGGTGAGCCTGGTCGCTTGAGGAGCCCGCGAGGCGGACGCCATGCGCCAGGCCTTGGTGCAGCTGAGCCGGCTCTGCCATTCTGTGCGCCAGGCCACCGGAGGTACTGACTGCTTAGATGCACTAGGTCTCCCAGTAGTGCCCATTTACCTTTTTTGGGGGGGAGGGTTCCCCTACTAAAATAGCTACAGAAAAAAGGGTACCCTTATTCTAACCTCTCTACTGGAGAACCTAGTGCAGGGTTTGGTGAAAGGAAGAATCTCACTCCCCTGCGCCCTGTGCAACCAACCCTAGCTGCAGCTCCAAGCCTAGCTGCATCACCGGCTTGGACCTGGAATGGGATTCCTCCAAACATTTGCACCCCACAAAAACAGCCGCACTATCAAGTTGAGCTTGGTCAGGTGGGATGAGGTCTGGATTGTGCCAATTTGTACCTCGCACGGTTCAGGGAGGTTGGTATTTTGAGAGAGATTCGTGATATTTTGCGTGGTCTTGTCAAACAGGAGACACACGGGAGGTCTGAGGTGCGTATGTGTGACAACAGTGTGGCAAATGCTGCCGCCTATTTATAGCCCAAGCCAAGTGACGCAGGAGCAGAAAGCGCTTCGCCATTTCGAAGCGGACGAGTTCTACAAAGGTTGCCTGACTCGAAAAGGCAGTTTGCGACAGACATCTTGCTGGCTGCAAGTCCAGTGTTCTGGCGTTCTGCTAAATGAAGTAAGAATATGACATCTACACAAAATCCATCCTGTGTCCTTAGGCCTGTGGCAGCTGGACGATCCCTCGCGCCGCCGCGCCGCTGTTCGGCTCCTGCGCCTGGCTTTGTCCAAGAGCAGAGCTTTGGCTGAATCATGAGGGCTGACTCCACGGGTTGCAGGATCCGACACGTGACAAACGCCCTCTTGGACGACACCAAGGGCATGTCTAAGTTTCGAAGTTTGAAGACGAAGCACAAGTTTGCCTGCACTTTGTCACGCCTGGTGCAATCCTGACCGACCACGCGACTTTTGCGCAGAAGGATACACACAGCCTGGGGATCTGAGTCAGCAAGTCCTACTGCAATCCACTGCAGCCCTTGTTCGGTCCTTTCTATGACTTTCTCTTGTTTTGCCAACAGATTTCCTGATTGATCCACTTTATCCACTTCGCCAACAAGCAAATTTCAGCCAAGAACACCTATCAGTACTTGTCATCAATCAATCAATCAATCAATCAATCAATCAATCAATCAATCAATCAATCAATCAATCAATCAATCAATCAATCAATCAATCAATCAATCAATCAATCAATCAATCAATCAATCAATCAATCAATCAATCAATCAATCAATCAATCAATGCATTGTGGCACGAAACGGCACCTTCCCAAATGGTTGGCGGACATAACTCCCCACCTCAATGATGAGACTTGTCCAATTCGATTTCCTACCAAGATGTTTTCTACCACACCAAAGCCACTGAGATTTACACCAACGAACGAACGAATCCGGGTCTCCGAGCACTGAGTGTGCGACCTTTAGGCTGGTTGGTGGCCAAAAACCAAGAGCACGGCACAAACCTCAAGTGAGCCACAATCAAAACCCGGGTAGATGAAGGTTAGTTATTGGACGATCCCAACCATAAATAGCTGCGGCCGCCTTCTTAATTCTTCACACGGTTCTTGGTAGACCATTTTAATACCGGGTTTTTATTGTGACTCAAGTGGGTATGGGTCAAAATACACCCACCAGGGGACCGCAGGTTTTAGTCTTTGGTTCCATTAATCAAGGCAACCCATTTTGGGTCCTCATTTTTGACCCACAGCCAAGTTGGTTACTCAGGTGTGTTTCCATTAAATAGGTAGTTTCCTGTTGGTTGGCCTTGAAAAAGGCTACCGGTGTTTGGTGCCCAAGGACGCTCCGCATCACCTATGGCTCTATTTTGGGGTGGAGGAACATCCATTTGCCACCTATTTTGATGTTCACCAGTTTCCTGGGTTTTGACCAGCCATGTGGCTTAACTCAAAATCGGGGACCCTGAAAATCGGTGTTTTGTTTTCCCTGCGGCTCCAGTCGCGCGAGCTCCCGGCCGAGGCCGGCGGCGCCTCAGCGGCGCGGTGCGGCTCTGGAGCCGCGGCGCCGGCGAGCGGCTGGGGGCGGACGTGGAGTCGTCGCTGCGCCAGGCGCAGCGCCTTTGGCACGCGGTTGACGCGGTGAACGCTGGATTTCTAGGTCCCCCTGTAGTGCCCTTTTACCGTTTCTTTTTTGGGAGAGGGTTCCCCTACTGAAATAGACTACAGAAAGAAATAAAAAGGGTACCCTTATTCTAACCTCTCTACTGGAGGACCTAGGTTTTCTTTGGGCGCCGTGGCTGTGGCAACTGGGAAATAAGCATAAAACGGGGGTGGGGGGGGGGGGGAGCGAAAAACACCAGTTGGAGGGGAAAAAAGCCGTTTCACTGGGAAATGAACAGGCAAAGTGGAGACAGGGAAAGACGCCAGTTTGAGGGGTTGTGCCGGCGGGGGTGGGGATGGGACGTCATGCTTGCAGAACTTGTGATTGAACATGTTTAGCTTCACTCCTTCACTCCTTGGTGATTAGCTAGGCTTGCTTGCGAAGGATATCAAGAATGGTTCAAAGGGTTCCAAGTCAGGGAACCAGCTCCAGGGCAAAAAGCACTGGATCCAAACAAAGGTAATTTGCTGAGGCAAAGCGTCCACCTAATTGAGGATGAGTATGTTGGTGTGAGTCAACTTGGTCGATGGAGAGGACCTTACGATGGTTAGATAATTTGCATCTCATGGTGGTAGCCACGCTTACAAGCACCTACAGAAGTGGCATGATCATGCGAGATACAAAGCGTCACTCGAGCTGAGGAGCGTCAACGCAGAGCTGGCACAGAACAATCGCGAAGTGGAGGCGGTGAAGGGCTCGAAGTCATGGCTGAGCTTAGAAAGTCAACGAGTCGACAGGAAAAACCAAGCCGGGGTCCAACATCAGCCGCTCCATTTCTTTTTCCGGACGACGTTCATTTGGCACAAGCCTTGCCATGCGCAGGTGGAAGGTCTGGTGAGTTGCTTTGTGCCAGGGGCTGAGAAAGACGAGGGGCGGCGGTTGTGAGAGCGTTATGCGCGCGCTTGTTTCAGTCAGATGCAGGGCAGCGACGGGAGTGCGTGCCCCTGGCACAGCCATTGAAGAAATTGTGTTGTTTCCCGGGGTCACAGGTTCTTGAGCCTGTCCCTAGTAGCTGGCCGTGCGTTATGAATGGCGCAGGGCCGGTTCCCTCTGCAGCTTCATTTAAAGATCAAACAGAAAGGTGGGAGATGGTGGGAGCTTTCCAGCCTTGAAACATGAAGTTGGTATCAAAGTGAGCATTATTTTTAGGTGTCGGCATTTGCAACATGTTAAACAAAAATGAGATACTGTGGATGCGCGAAATCCTGCACCAGCTGTGTGAAGCCCTATGGGACAAGCCACATCTGGTTTCTGAATGGGTTCTGAGTTCTGAGTAAAAAAGAGAGAAAACAACACACAACCTGAGAAACAATAAGAAAACTGAAAAGCGATACTGGACTTCCGAAAGTCGGAATGAGTACACCCCAGAGAAGCCAGGGTGTTTCTCAAAATATGGAACCCCTTTTTTGGGTTTCAAATGGGGGTTTAAAAGGACTCCCCCCCTCCTCACCTTCAAGGGTCCCCAATTTGAGAGAAACGGATCCCCAAGATATGGTCATATTCTTCATGGATCTCAACCTTCCGGCCCCCCAATTGTCTAACTCTATTGGCTTGGATCTTTAGACTTTAACTTTTTGGATTCCCTTCAGATTTCCTTTTCACCGGCAAAGAGTTTTTTACTTTTTTCTGGTGGATTTAAAATTTACAGCACCCGAAAAACATTGGAACGCGTTTGTCGCATGTGGATCTCGTCTGAGGCACAGCCTGGGCGGCGCGGTGCAGCGGCGCCAGCTCTGGGCGCTGCGGAACTGGGGCCACTCAGCTCCAGGGGGTGAGGTGGGAGGGGGGGTGGGGGGGTAGGGGGGGTTGGGGGGTTGGGGGGTTGGGGGGTTGGGGTTTGGGGGAGGGGGGCCCATATGAGGGTCGTGCCTTTTTCTTGCGCCATTTCAACTTGCTGGGCAGATGTGTTTGAGGTTGCGGCTTTTTTGCAGGTAGCCTTCTTGGGCTTGAAAGCGAAGCCAAAAGCAAGACCAGCCAGCCCTCAGCCAGCCTGACACACCCTCCAACTCCAACCAATTTCAACAGCGGCAAATTACCGGGATGGTTGCACAGTTCGAGGGAACCATTCGCACCATGAGATTGATTGAACACATCCACTTAGGAGTTGAGCAATTACGGCTATGGCTCAACTCGCATGCCGAGCATACGAGAAGTAGAGGGTGGGCGCTTAACAAACGCATGAGGTAATCTTAAGAAAAGAGTTGGGAAACGACAAACTCATACAAGTGCGCAAACAAAGTGCAATATGTTTGGAGAAGGAAAATACCAGGCATGGTCTGACGGCCAAGATTGAGAGCAGCAATGCATTTCGTAAAACTGGTGCTTGTTTTATGCGTCTGGCAGCCAGTAGTTGAGGTACAGACAAATCGCTGGATGTGCAATTGCTTGTATTGCATGCCCTCTTGAAAGCTTTGTCAGATACAAAGTTGAATGCACATACCCGAGTGAAAAGATTGGACTAGGGCATGGGCGCTCCAAGCCGGTTCGTTCAAGCATCCAGCCACCTCCACTTCTGGAAGCGCTTTACATCCCTGAGATAGTCGCATATGTGCCATCAGCTTGATCCCGACGTGATTTGTGCTTCTGGCAGCACCCCCATTTCTCCTCGACAATTGGTGATTCATACAGCCTTGGTCTACAGCCCAGGTGCCTCACTCACGCGCTTACGCTTTCAGCCCGCCTCTCGTGCGCGCCTCCAAGCGCAGCCAGGTTGAGGTCGGATCTTTTGACATGGCATGTCAGTCAAGGAGACTGCCTGCAGTTGGCTCTTGATCCGCGGGCAAAACGCTTTGTGTTTTCTCTGGGGGTCTCCACCGTGGCGGACCCTGTTGCACAGCCTCCGCTTGCTCCAAGTCGGCAAAGTCCGCGCAGACTGCCCAAAGACTGGCAGTTAGACTCAGATTGCGGAGCACATAGAAAAGCGGAGCCACGCTTGTCGTTCTTTTCTCCTGCCCATTCCATGTGCCATGCCCTGGTGCGCCTGTTGGCATACTTGTTGGTTGTTTCGTATGCCTGGTGTGTTCAATGTGCCTTGTTTGTCTTCTATGTTTGCTTGTTTGTTTGTTTGCTTGGTTTTTTGCTTTCTTTGTCTGTCTCTGTGAATGCTTGCTTGCTTTGCTGGCTTTGCTTGCCTGCTTGCTTGCATGCGTGCTGGCTAGCTTGCCTTGCCTTGCCTTGCCTTGCCTTGCCTTGCCTTGCCTTGCCTTGCCTTGCCTTGCCTTGCCTTGCCTTGCCTTGCCTGCTTGCTTTGCTTGCTTGCTTGCTAGCTTGCTTGCTTGCTTGCTTGCTTGCTTGCTTGCTTGCTTGCTTGCTTGCTTGCTTGCTTGCTTGCTTGCTTGCTTGCTTGCTTGCTTGCTTGTTTTGCTTGCTTGCTTGCTTGCTTGCTTGCTTGCTTGCTTGCTTGCTTGCTTGCTTGCTTGCTTGCTTGCTTGCTTGCTTGCTTGCTTGCTTGCTTGCTTGCTTGCTTGCTTGCTTGCTTGCTTGCTTGCTTGCTTGCTTGCTTGCTTGCTTGCTTGCTTGCTTGCTTGCTTGCTTGCTTGCTTGCTTGCTTGTGTTTGGCGCTTGTGTGATTGTGTTCATGTTTGCACTTGTGTTTATGTGTGCGTGTGTGTGCCCGTGTACACGGATGGCTGGGTGTTGGTGTGTTTGAAGGCGCCAGAGTTTAAGCCAGCAGGGACTCCAAGCGGAGTCTAGCGTTTGGCGGGCACAAATGTCTTGCCCATTAGGACAGTTGGTTCAGCCACAGGAAGCACAAGCTTCCTTCCCGGACCTGCCTTCACCAGGCTCCGCATGTTGTTTGTTTACCATGGCTGGCACTTTGCGTAACAGAGGTGCGATTGCGGCCGGTCCGCCTTGTGGCAACAGAGTTCTAGGTAGTTTGGGCGTGGGGAGAAGGGGGTTCAATTTCACTTTTCACGAAAGGATAGGATGTGGCAGTAAAGGATAGAAGATTTAGCAGTCGACTTCACGTGGCGCCAAGGTAAAACAGCTCTCTGGGGCAGTGTGGAAGGCTTGGAACCTTGGGAAGCACTCGTCTGCTTGGGCTTTGAAGGCACGTGGGAATTATCCCTTGTTTCTGACCACTTGCCCCAGCGAAACCTTACAGAAGGTACAGCGAAAAATTGCGGATACTGGTTGCACAAGTTGGAAGTGATGGTGGTTTCCCCAGCGACATCGACAGGTGACGGCGCAGCACAAGTCTGTCAGCTGCTGCAGGAGGGATGCGGGGCATGGTTGGCAGATGCTTCTATTGGGCTGGGGAGGAGAGTGGTCAAAACAAAGTTTGTGGCCCAATGATCCATGTTCTTTGATGACTGCTCACATTAAAGGATGCGATTCCAGGATGCTTGGCACAAAGGTTATGAAGTTATGTGGCTGTGGGTCAAAACCAATGGTACAATGTTTGTCCATTTTAGTGGGGATTGGGAGTACGGGCTTTTGACCCATGGCCATGTGACTTGAGTCAGCGCCGGGCTGGCCTATGCAGCAGCTTTGTGTTTGGTCTGTTGATGCCGTACAGGACAGCCTTGACGTGCACCTTCCAAGAATCGGAGCATCGGGTGCCAATGCAGCGGGAAGCTGAGAAGGGAGTTCAAGCACAAAATAGGAGGCATTTGGGATCAGGTAAACCAGTATTCTGCTCCACCTTACAAATTCAAAAGGCCTGTGGATCTGAATGCAAACTGCTGGAATGCCTGCATTCAATCCAACCCACTGAGGTACTCATGGCAGCACATGCTGGGCGATGTCTCGCAGCACGGCCTGCAGGACGTGCAAAGCTTCTGGCCAGAGCGCCCAACGGCTCCATTGACGAAGCATGAAACAGGGCTTGTGACTGCCATAGCTGAAAATGCGAACACCGGGATTGATTTTTTTGCTCACTCCAGGGAAGGTACGCCATTGAACAGACTTTCACGCCAGGTGATGCAGTCGGCCATTCTTAAGCGACATGTCTAGCGGCTTGCCTTCGCTCCAAATCATGTTGCAGCCTTGTCAGGAGAGTCAGCTCCGTGCCTGCCTGCCACAGACTGAACAGAATTGCAAGGGGGAGGTAACACTCATTTCACCTCAAGGTACGAAGTCATCAGAAGCTTTCTCAAAATGGTGAACCCCTTCTTGGGTGGTAGGAAACCAAAGGAAACCATCCTTTAGAGGGACCTCCCGACTTGACAGCTCAGGCTGCTGCCTATGCCCGGCTGCTGCGCCAACTGGGCCGTGGCTTCGCAAGCGGCTGGCTTGGCCGGGGCCGTAATCGACAGCTGAAGCTCCAGAAAGGTGATGGAATGCCCCGGACAGGCAACGAAAAGACCAGCTCACCCGTTTTGCCCCCCACGATCTTCGGTTTCCGGCTTCCTACATTAGCCAAAACCCCCACTTGATCTAAACGGTTTACATGGCTTCCGCGAAGGGAGAACAGGGACCCTGCATCGCGAAAGCTCCGCGAAAGCGTTTCCGAGAACTCGGTCCGCGAAAGCTCCGCGAAGGGGCTAATTACTTGTTCCCAACTCGTCCTCTGTGACATCCGGGACAATCCCCCACCAGTGCGAGCTCTAAGGCCTGGCGGCCTCAGGCGCTACACCATGTTCGATTTTGATTTCGCTCATGGAATGTCCCATGGGAGTCGCATAAAGTGTCTCCATTTGTACCCAAGAGAAGGTTACTTAGGTTGCTTGGGTTTCTTTCGATGCACGCCATCCCTCGCGTTTTTTCTGAGCCTTGCCCTGCCAGGCACGGATCCCCCGTGCGAGAACTTAGCAGCCGCGCTGGTGCAAGAGCTGTGCTCTGCTCACAGCCAGGCCTGGGGCTCCCGAGTAAGGGAGCAAGAATCCTCAATGGCGTCCCTTTGTTGGGGTCCCCTGAGCTTCCAGGCGCAATCCAAGTGATCTAATAATTCTGAAAGTTCGTGCTAACGATTGCTGGTGCCACTGGAAGTTGTTCACCGGCTGGTGCGAGGAAACCTTCGACAACGTGGCCTCCGCGTTGCAGACCCGCCTCGCTTCAAATGAGCGGCAACTGGATCTTTGGGGATGGACCGCGTCTCAGAGACCGCCAGGATTGCGGTTGCTCAAGTCCACGGAGTAGAGGTCGCAGGAGCTTTGCAGAAGGCCTGCAGGGGCTTGAGAAGCAACTGCTGCGAGAACTGGCAAGTTGTCTTCCGTAAAAGACTGCTCTACTTGCAAAGGAGAGTGTCCACGATCTTCCAAGCTTCTGATGTCAGCTTGGCCGATTCAACCAGGCGTCTGAAAACCTGCCCTTGCAAGTGGCCGCGGCCTTGGGACTGCTGCGAAGAGACTCCATTTGTTTAGCGACAGAAATACGCTCAGATTCGCGAAATGTCACTGCCACGCCTCCCACTCTCAGGCCTTCTCCCTGCTGCTGGCACTGCTGCAGGATGCTTGCTCCGAAGCATCAGAGGACCGCGCAAAGAGAGCTGGCGAGGTCGGTCAATGTTGTTCACTAGTCGTTCACCAGGATGCAGTTCGCAAGTTGCAGTTGCTCATATGTCATAAGATTGTCATTGACTTGAAGGCTCTTCGGAAGGTAGGCCGCAATCGGCTCAAGGCAGCACGTTGTTTCTTTGCGATCAACCGCCGCTGCAAACGAGATGAGTGCACATTTAAACGGAAGAGCCTGCCAACTGAGCGTTTAAAGTTACATGTTGATGATGCCCTTTGCCTGATGTGTTGCTCGAAGACTGCCAGTCACAGACACCACGATGTTTGTTTGTTTGCTGGTTGCTAGTACCCGCAAAAACCGCGGCCAAGCCAAATTTTCCCCAGGGGATGCAGCTTTTTCCCCGCTGTTCGGCTGCCCCGACAGGCCATGCCAGGCTGGGCCCCCTTGGCAGTGTCGTTAGCTCCAAGGGCATTGCAGGCGCGGGGCCGGCCCGTGTTTCTGGGCAGCAATGGGGCAAACCTGCGGTGATTCTGAAGCAAACTCAAATTTGGCTTGGAGCTAAGAAGATAATACTGAACATGGCAAGGTGTCAAGATAGCTTAGCCCATCAGCAAGACAAGTTGAGCTACTCTTTCGCTCGCTCCGACCTTTGGTGCAATCCCTTTGTGCACTGTCTGCAGAATCTCTTTGAGCAATCTCTTCGTGACATTTCTACGCAATGCCTTTGGGCAATCTCTGTGTCCCATTGTTCAAGCGCTTTGGTCGGAAGAATCCCCGTCAGCTCATGCTTTGGGGAATGACGGAGGCATCATCAGAATTGTGGCAGTGAAAGAGGGGTTTCTCCAAGTAGCCATTCTGGAATGTTGGCAGGACCCGCGCGGGGCAGTGCTGCCACGCCAGCTCTTGCAGCAGCGACTCGAGAGGTGCGGCGCTGGCGGCATGGTGCTAGCATCTGGTGCTAAGGAAAGGCGCTTGTAGAACTGATCCCGGTAGCCGAGTCTTTTCGGCGTCAAGTGTCCATACGCAGTGTACTCTGAAAGGTTGTTTTGACGATGGAATGTGAAGCCTGGAAGTCTGAATGTGGAGGTGACTGCCAGGATCCATGGATTTGTTCAATAGATCTGGAGAGATTCAGCTCCGAGCTTCCAGGCATCAGGCCCCGGAGAAGGCAGCATGGCTGCAGGCTGGGGCGGCAGGCACCAGGAGGCTGTTCCCACCGAGGGGTTCTCTGTCAGTTACCGACATTTGATTCCTTATGGCGATTTCTTGCGCGGACTGAGTGAATACAATGCACCTGGTGAGCTCGCTTGGAACAAGCCTTTGCGGACTCCGGATCAAGTTGTCAGGCTTATGAGATTCCGCATGCGTCAGGTACTCGAAATCTTAGGTGATCCACCACCTGCAGGCGGGAGAGATGTCGAGAGGGCAACTTCAGCACACGAGGGTGGCAGCAGGCATAGCTCGCTGGAGGCTTCAGGTTTGACAGGTTGGGCCTCAGCCGTGTCGGGCGTTCACCACAATTGGCGCCGCCTTAGACGAATTCATCAGTTCGGATCCCCCAAAAGGCGTCAACACTTCAGACACGAAGTGGCTGCATCCCAAGCATCACCGGCATCTATCTTTGGAGGCTAGTTGTCTTGGACGAACTGCAAACGATCCTGGTAATTCTGTGATAGACCTTCAGAACTGAGTTTGACCAGTAATGTGTGAGGAATCCTTGCTGCTTCATTCCAGTCGCACCGAAAGCTGCTTGAAGCCTCGGTGCGTAGGAGGAGAGGATCCAGAACCTTGGCAGCTCAGCTTGCATCCCAAGGCAGGGGAGTTGGCGCCCGGAGAACCTGTCAGCGCCTTTACAATGGGAGGAATCCCGGTTCGAAACGAATTTTCCAGCCTGGGAGATCAGCTATGCATCGCTTGCCGCTTGCTTCTGTGTTTGTTTGTGTCAGTACGGTCGATTGGTATGTTAAGAAAACCGCGCGTTTTGACCAGGGTCTGGAATATTTCTTTTATTTTTTTAAAAAATATTTGATGGGGGATAAGAAACGGTGGTCTCAATCCAGAGTCTTGACCGGATTTGAAATTTGGTTAATGAAAGAAGGTGTTTCTTTGGCCCTTGTTGGTCTTGTGTTCGGCGCACTAGTGTGGGGCCTTGGGTGTGGTCGGGTTGGTTTTCACCACCTTGGTTTATGGGCCTGAGAATTGGGTGTGAAGGTGTTTCTTTGGCCCTTGTTGGTCTTGTCTTCGGCGCACTAGTGTGGGGCCTTGGGTGTGGTCGGGTTGGTTTTGACCACCTTGGTTTATGGGCCTGAGAATTGGGTGTTCGCGCTTTTGAGGAGCAGCGCCAATTTCCAAACTCTGAGCCAGAGGTAAGTTGTCAAAAATGTGTTCGAGGGAACATGGTCGGTCACCAACCTTGTTTTACCTCGTGCTGCGCCTTTAAATGTAGTACATATAGCCTCGCCAGAATTCGATCCCATCTCCCTCCTATCGCGACACAATTCATTGCCAACTGAGCTAGAAAGTCATGCTACGTTTTTGCTAGATAGGCAAATGTACTACATCTAAAGTGCACACCCAATTCTCAGGCCCCTGAGAAAAGGAAATCAAGCGACCACACTAGGGCTGAGAGTTGGGGCTCGAATAGAACCAATATCAGTGCGGAGTTGTTTTTTGATTTTTGGAGCATTTGAGAGTCTCAAACAAATTATTTCTGGACCATTTGAAAGTCTAATTTCTTGCTTCTGACTGACCGTATTGCTGGGAAGACTCGACCTTGTGGGACAAGATTGGGTCGCCACAATATGATGCCAGCATTCAGGCGGAAGTCTCAGAGGACAGGGGCTGCAGCTATACTCTGGGCCTGGGGGGGGGGGGAATTGGTGCATCCGATAGTCAGATCGGACTGCAAATGCTGCACTGGGAACCCGCTTCTGGATTTGTCATTTCGGAGGGCACGTGCAATCCGGTTTTGCTCCATGCTCTTAGAGCAAGACATTTTGAGAGATCGATGATTGAAATTGTGTGTGGCGCACTGAGTCACCAAGATACTTCGGAGAGCGACAGGAGCTGCGGGCCTTTTGGCCAATTCGAGCAGCTGCTAAGCCTGCAAAGGCATGGTCATGGAAGCAGAAGCAGAACAACGGTGGTGGGTTTCCAGTTGGTGTCTATTTAAAGCCGGCCACAAGGGAATGCCCCCAAGAAAGACAAGCACCGGGTCTGTTATCAGCCGCATTTGGATGCCGGAATCATGAAGAGCCACACAGTGCCTGTCCGACAGCCCGGCATACGCTAGGCAGAGGTTGCTGAAAGAAAGGAAGGCAGGAGCAATTGCGTGGAAATTGCTGATGGTACATAGTGCTGCTTGCAGCTGTCCATGACCATTTGGGCTCACGAGCAACATCATCCAACAATCAGCCATGAATTCGATCACTGCACTTCTGCCCTTGACACAATGGCTCTTGTGAGCTTTGCGGGGATTGCACTGGTGATGTGGCAGATGCCTCTGCAGGTGTCGCAATGGATGTGCATGGCAGGGATTGGCCAATGTGAAGATGGAAGCTCTGAAGTTTGAAGGCGACGCTTGGACCAACGTCTTCGAGAGCCCGTGCTGTGGAGCGAGCAGATCCCAGTGCCTTGCTGAAAAGCATCACGAATGCGACGAGAGCACTTGGATCTGCAGCTTCAGGCGGAACTGGGCCAGCAGAGGGCTCCAGATCGCATGCGCAACCTCAAGCCCGAGATGCTCATGAAGGTGCTGGAGCAGGATCCCATGGTCTGGTGCTGCACGCCAGCCCCGTGCAGATCATCAGCCCGGAAGCACTGCAGATGCTCAATCAGACCTTGGAGAAGCGGGCCGGCCAGAGCGACATGAGCTGAGATGCAGAGACGGGGAGATGCGGGTGCACCATGTTCCGGTGATATGCAACGTGTAGGGTCGTGTAGGGTGGTAGAGGTAGGAAAGAGCAAGGTGGCAGAAGGGAAAAGTATTCCTTGCGGTCGCTGTCATCTACCACCGTGCAGGTGTCTAGCCGGCTATTCAACGGAATTTCGTGCGCTGGCTTCGGCTTCGGGCTCACGAGGCGCACAAGGGACGCTGCAAGTGGACCTGTACGCGAATCCGGCAGCAAAGGCGGCCCAGGCCGAGCGCGGAGCGTGTTGGATGCATCCGGGGCTCCAGGGTTCTTCAGCGTTCTATTTCCTGGTTTTTGCGGGGACGTAAGCAAGGCCTACTTAAATCTTATCTATCTATCTATCTGTCTATCCATCCATCCATCCATCCATCTATCTATCTATCTTAATTCTATTGTTTAGTATATGATATACATGAAGCCATGAAAAAGAAAAGGAGATTGCTAAATTTCTCTCGGAGTCCACAGGTTTTCATCGCGGCTTCGTCGCTCAGGACGCGGTGGTGGCGGCGCTGGCGCCGGCCCGGCGCTGCGAGGCGCTGCTCAGCTCCGCGAGGGCTGAGGCGATGCGACGGGAGACTGGAGCCTCGGTGTGTGGCTCCTCTTAGGGTTCCTTAAGGAGCCGAAAATGCGTCCATTTGGTGACGGGAGCAGAAAATGCTTCCATTTGGTGAAGAAGGTTTTTTTTGGGGGGGATTGGCTTCCAATTGGTGACGGTTTGCTTTGCTGTATTTTCCCCGGTGGGTTTTAAAGGGAATCAATGCTTCCATGTGGTGAAGACGGTGTTTTTGTTGTGAATTTGGCTATGGGTCGAAATCCAAATCGTAGCCCCAGTGAACATCCCAATCCCCACTAAAATCGACTAAAATGGGTGGTGCACCTACCCCAAGATGGTAGTTTTGACCCACGGTGACAGCTTGTTATTTTCCCCCGAGGGGTTGAAGGGGAATGTATCACTACTGGAGCTCAGTTGCCCAAAGCCCAAAGCCGACCTTTTAACCTTTTGGTTTTCAATTGTTGGTCTATCTTTAGTAAAGGCCCCAAAAGGTGAACCTTGTATTTCTGGGTCCCTTGGGCGACTGATGGAGTGGTTCTTCCCAGTTGACCGCCCTTCCGGCCGTGGCCAACGCGCTAACGCGTCCCGCGACCTCCGCTGCGCGAGGCCCCGGAGGAGACCTTCCCGGCTCTGCTGGGCGCCTGGCGAGAGGCGCCGGAGGCCTGTGCCGCCAGGGGCCTGGAAGGCTGGTCCGCTGAGACGTCCAGCTTGGAATGGAGCCGTTCTGCTGAGCTGTGAGCTGTGGGTCAAAACCTGAGGTTAGCCAAAAATGGGGATGGTTACTCCGCTGGAAGGCTTTTTGGAAGGCTTTCTGGGTGTTCACCGGGGGTGCCAGGTGAGCTTCTGGCCAACGCGTTTGGCTAGGAGGGAGCAGTTGTGATTCGAGCAAGCAACCTGAAGCGAACGGATCAGCGTTCTGCAGCTTGATTCATTCTCATGTGAGCCAATGGAGCTGTAGCGTTGTTCATGTTGATATCTTCAATCATTCAATCATCCTTTGTTGCCAAGTTGGCCCTGAGGTATATGTGGTGGACCTGGACCCCTCAATACTCTGCCCATATCATGGCGGAACCGCAATTTCAGCGGCTTTCCCTTCCGCTTCTCTTGAAACCAAGCCACTGGGGGGTGCTCCAAGGCGGTGGTGCTGCGGTCGGCAGACGGCCAAGCCGGCTGGCCCACACCGGCCTGGGCCTTGACTCGTTGCAGTACCCCCTGGTTGGTTGGGTGCTGGTTTGCCGGTAGATTCAAGGGAAGAACACCCCCACCATGTCCCATGTGTGGCCCAGGGCGGAAAAAAGGGGGCCGGACGGCCTTTTCTCTACCAAGGGGGAAAAGGGTCCCAGCTGGGGTCCGGGGGCGTCCTCCTCAGGCTGTTTGTGCTTTTGGAGAAACCCGTGCGGCTCAATTTTTTGGGGACCTGCTCAGCACATTTTCGGGCTGGTCGCTTGAGTAAGAGGTAGGAACACCTCGCGCTTTGAGTGCTGCCTTGGGAATGCGGCTCAAAAATATGCCGGAAACCTCTCGGGGCCCGGAATTTGGCCGCAGCTTGCAACCATAGGTGTCCTTTTTGGTTGTTTTGGTAGAAAAATAGATGGCCCTGCTTTACCTGGTGGTTTAATCATCTACCAGGGTCATCTATTTCCCCTAAAGGGGACACCTGTGCTTGCAACGCCGGCTTCCCTCGGTGAGGTGCTGGCACCACTGCTGGCACAGCTGGTGTGTCAAGATGCACCAGGCACGCGGAAAGCAACGATCAGAGCTGTGAGGGGGTGTGTTCGGGAGGCACCTGTCGACCACGTGGGTGTGTTCTAAAATGTTCGACCCCGTTTCTTGGGTTGCTGTTTAAAAGCGGACCGTTTTTCGGTAAGCACCCACAAACAAAAAAGTGTGCTACCGAGCCGGGGGGGGGGGGGCAGTTTGAAGCACTTGGGTCCAGTCTTCAAGTCCGGAAGGCAGACATTCAAGCTTCCAATGGGGCAAGGAACCCCCAGAGCGAGCCAAGCGTCAGGCTGGTGTTCCTGGCGCAACGGCCCATTGGACCGCGGCCTCTTCACCTCGACTTGGGCTGGGGCCCTGGGAGCAAGACGGAGATCAGCTGGTTCCAGGGTTTTGGAGCTCAGCTGGCAGGTACGCATGTCGGGGTTGATCAAAAGGTCCTTTCCATGGGGTGACCATTGGGGAAACCACCAAAAGGATGACTTTCACCACTAAGTGAGAAAAGTTACCCATTGTCATTTGGCAGCCGAACGGAATATTGATCAACCCCCCTGTGTTGCTAGGGTCGCATGAGCCCAGGCATGCCTTTGCAAGGATGCGAAAGCATCAGCAGGCGCCTGGCATGAGAGCCAGGGCGGGCTTTTCGGGAAACGCCGATCCCGAAGACGGTGATGTTGTGCATGGGTGAACGGCCGGATCCCAACGTTCAGTCAAGTCCTAGCGGCCCAAGAGGTCCACATGGCTGTGGGTCAAAAATGGGTACCCCGAATGGAACCCTGGTAAATGGAACCCAGGATTAAAGCCTGGGGTCCATATCCTGGTGGTTATATTTTGATCCACACCCACATTGTGGCCTTGCCAACAAGTCGAAGGGCTTCCGCCAGGCTTCTGGCCCTGGGCTCTGAAAGAGCTGGTCATTCCCAACCTTTGCTCCGAAGCCAGGCGGGAGACTCACACTGGGTTTGCTTCTGGTTGAAGAGCTGACAGGGCATTCGGCAAACGGGTGTTGTGTCACTTTGCTACTCTTCGTGTGACGTGCAAAGTTGTTTCAATCAACTTGACACCACAGTTGGCCCAGCCACAAGCCAACTCTCTGTCCAAGCAAGTATCCCGGGCTGGATGTGAGCCGAGGCAGTTTGCAGCAGATGCGGCGCGAACGCTCTCATGCACGCTGGCTGCGGATTTGGCAGACAGCAGCTCAGCTTTGGCAAATGGCTGTGGGTCAAACCAATGGTTTTGGGGTGGGTGCACAACTCATTTTCACTGGGGGTACGGGATTTTGACCCATGGCCAAATTTGCACTGGTATCCACTACAGCTTTTTGAGATGGACTAGATGCATGATACTGACATGTGCAGCCTTGTTATGTGCACATGCCCGAGGTGCACCCAAGTTGAATTGAGCAATTGGATATGCTACAGAAGAAATGTTGCTTTGGTTTGAATGAAGGCCAGGTTGGTTGCCAATGCTGGAAGCAACTCGAATCATGTCGCTGGCCTTCACGTGGATGAGCACTGCATTTGTAGCATGCCCCGCCTTGTGCCGAGTCCCTTCGCGCAGAGATGCAGCGGCACGAGGCTCTTCATCAGCAGGCCCGTGGGTTCCGGTCACAAGGATAAACAGGGGGGACCTTGGGGTTTTGATGGGAGACACGGGCAAACCCACCAAAAAAAAACATGCCTTCAAAAATGTGGTCACAAGGAAACCCGGTGGACCCAAACCCACAGAAAAGGCGCGATCAAGATTTGTAGTCACAAGGAAAACCGGGGGGGACCGGGGAAGATAGCAACCTGAGGAAGTTCGGGTAATGAAGCGCCTTGGAGGTCACACCTTGGACATCCTGTGCTGCGGTAGCATCCCCAGCCGCTGAAGGAACGGCTGGTCTGAGAATCCGAGATGCGCCGGTTGGACGTTTGAAAGGCTCACAGGGATCGCCTCTTAAGCCCAGCCCACTGAGGCAGTGCGGCTGGAGTTCTTTCAGAAGGCGCCTTTGGCACCGCCGCATCCTTAGGGACTGGAACGGTCAGAACGTTCCGAGGGGGTTCAGTAGCCACCAAGGAATGTTTCATTGACAAGAGGACAGCCATTTTTATGTGGATGACTTTCATTCCACATGTGCTTGCAGCTTGCGTGCACCTTTTCCAGTGACCAGACCCGAGACGTCAATCCTTTGCTGAACTTCAGGTTGATCCTTTCACTTGCAGAAGTGGTCTCAGAGCTGCAAGCCGCAGAGGCGCAGCTGCGGGATTAGAATTGGCGATCGGACTGTCATCCATGGCTGTGGATCAAAACCAATGGTACCATTTTGGGATTGGTGCACCACCCATTTTAGTCTATTTTAGTGGGGATTGGGATGTTCACTGGGGGTACAAAATTTTGACCCATGGCCCCATTAAAGAGTGAGGAAGATTGTGCTGCAGCTGTACAGTCTAGCACACGTTCGCTGGCATGTGACGTTGACGACTATGAGCAATGTGTTTTGCACTTTAGGAGTAGATGTGACATGTGAAATTGGATGGCCGCAGCAGGAAGCGCTGATCAACTGGTCGAGCCTCGCCGTTGGGCTGGCTGACATGCCGGAGGCTGGTTCACGCACTTTGCTTGGGTTCCGTGAAAAACATGGCGACGGTTGGTATGCCTCTTCCTTTGCACGTCTAGGAGAAAGGGTGCGTGTTTTTTTCTTTTTCTTGAGGGTGGTTCTGTTTTGGGCTTGGAAGGAAAGCCAAAGGGAAAACAGCCATGTTGGGGTTCTCCTATTTGGCTGCAAGCCCGAATGAGCCTGACATGTGCAGGTCTGTATTTGTTGCCAGGCAGCCACCGTGCACAGGCACCTGAAGCTGCATCTGGTGACGCCCCTAGAGCAGGACCCCAGCCAAGAGTTCTTTGTGGACCACAAGGTTTTTCGCAGTGTGACACAAGTTGAATGTTCAATGGATGGTCTGTTTGGCTGGATTGGCATCAGTTGATGTCGTTTCAAGTCGGAAGAAGTAGGATGTTGGCTTGAGTGCAACTTGTCCTGAGGCACGGGTCGGGCTGGCCAGATCGAGCTTCACTGGCTATGCCGTGGACCCAATGGGCAGACCTGGCTTGTCGGCAGAGCAATATTCAAGAAAAGCTGAGTAGAGAACAATCCGTACTGTCGGCGGACAAAATCCTGCACCAGTTGATACCCTCCCTCCCACTAACATAGCACCTGCGGCAGGGTCCCTGGAAGATCCATTTCCTCTTGAATGAACCCTTTGTGAGGTGCCATGTTAGTAATATGGGTTCCATTCATCCCGACTTGTGCAGGATGTTGTCCATCCACAGTAGGGATAGTCCCGATACGAGGTGTTATGACTTTGCAGTTTCTTCGACAAAGGCCGGGCAGCTTCTTGCTGCTGTGCTCCCTCAGGAGGGTGACCAAGGCTTGTGCACTTGGCAAGTGGTTGCTGCCAGATTCGCAGCTGCTGAGTTTGCTTTGAGCAAGCCACGGTGTTGCGTGCGTTTGTCACGTTAGCCGATTCCCTGCACCCAAACTTGCACCCAAGACCAAATGGAAACTCAGGACGTTAACCCTCTGGGCTTTGACTTAAGATGTTTCTGCTGCTATGGACAAAGTCAACGCCCAGAGGGTTCAAGTCCACCCGCAGCCCCGCAGACCCGGCGGTGGCGTCTTTGGCCGCTTGCCTGCGGCCACGGCGGCTGGCAGGCGGTCCCCTATTTGGGGGATCAAAAGGTCCGATGCACATGGGATGACCAATGGGAGAAACCACTCAAGATTCGATGTGTCAACCACGAAATGGGGAAAAATACCCATGGTCATTTGGGGGCCGAACGGAATATTGATCAACCCCCAAATATGAATTTGGCCATGAACAGACTGAAGATGCTGAAGTTTGGAGAGGGGCCTCCTTGAAAGGATGTAGTTTCAGTGGCCAAGTGCGACTTAGACGATGCACCCTTAGTCCCCAAGGTTAGACGCCAGACCCCCTTCAAAGTCAGTAGGAATGTGTGTCCATGCAGTGATGGTGTAAGATCCAGGTAGTTGAAACCTACGGCGTTCTACCAAATGAAAGGCCCTGGTTTGCTCCAGTGAGGACTATAGAAGCTGTCCCAAGTTTGGTAGATTCTTGGCTATGTCTTTCTTAAGGGTACCCCTTTTTTGGTAAAGGAAAGCCGAAAGGAAAACCTAGGTCCCCCCAGTAGTGCCCTTTTGCCCTTTTTTGGGGGAGGGTTCCCCTACTAAAATAGACTACAGAAAAAGAAATCGGTAACCTTTATGCTAGCCTCTCTACTGGAGGACCTAACATAGGCAGGGAATGAGAATCGGAAGGTTCCCTACAAAACATCCAACTCGTGGTTTCTTTTAAGGGAACCCCTAAGTTCATTCCCACCCTGAGTCATCCCCTTCTGAAACCGATGGCCTTTTTTGGGGGTGTCCAACCCAAAAAACGGACGCCAGGCCATCGCCTGGAGCTTTGGGCTTTGCTGGCAGCAGCTCTGCGCTGGCCGTCCAAGCGGCCGGGGGGCCGAGGCCGCCGAGCCACGGCATAAGGCTGGTAGAGTACGATGGGCACGAGGTTTTTTGGTTTGAAGGAAGCCAGGAAAACTGATGGTACTTTTGGTTTTCGCTCTCCAAAAACCAGCTGGTTTGAAGAGAGCCGGTTTTGAGCTGGTGTTCAAACTTGGCTAAAGGGGAGCTCTCGAAGCTGCCAGGAGAGTCAGAACATGGTAGGAAACGGACAGTCCCTGCCAGAAAGCAGGTGCCAGATATGTCCACCGTGTTGAGACTTTGCATCATAGACACATTTACCCAGTTGGCCAGTGGCGCCCTTGGTTCCTGTTTTTTGGGAAGGGATCCCCTTTAACTCAACCAACCAAAAATGGAGGCTCTTTGTTCCCATGTCACTGGACGTATGCCTCAGTTGAGCCTCTCAGATGTGATGTGGGCCAAGGCTGTCGCAGCTCATCTTAGACGTCTTGCCCGAGGTGTTCGACGACCTGACTGCACCCTTGCTACAAAGCCACTTGATCCACGTCCTCAAACCCGGGTAAGTGCAGGTTAGAAAGGGACGATCCCAGCCACAAATAGTTGCAGCCGCCTTCCTAGTCCTTTACATGGTTCTGGGTCGACCATTTTTGTACAGGGGCTTGATTGTGACTCACTTGATCCAATATATGCACTACGAAAAGGTGTCCTTCGTGCCAGGTACTTACCCCTGAGGGCCCAGTGAAGGGTTGTCGCTGCCGGCTTAGTAGCTGAGTTTATTTGAAGGCTTGCTCCGGAAACATCTCGAAATCAGGGTCCGAAGCTGACTCAGGTCTGGACTGCAGCGGCGAGTTTGTGGACTTTGGCGTGCGCTTACCGGTGCCCCAATGTTTTTTGTGCACGCAGGTTACAATTGTATAGCCTCACGAACTCTTGGTGGCCGGTGTTCCGGTCGCTGGGACATGAGAAGAGCACAGCACATCGCCCATTGCAGGTGCTGCGCTGCATTCACTGCCTCTTTTGCTGCCTCGCCGTCTTGGTTTGATTGACAGAGATGTTACGTGTCCATCCTGCCTGTCATATGGGTGGCTCGTCTTTTTTGGGACCCCACAAATGGGGGAGCGTTCCTTTTGGTGTTCCTTTCAAACCAACCCAAAACAGAAAACCCCGCAAAAGACGAGCCACCGTTCCGTTTCAGCGGGGCTTGTCACACAGTCCATGCCAGGTGCTCTAGCTCAATCCTTGGCCCAGCCCGCTGAGGCTTGGCTTGCCTTGTTTGCCTGTTCACAGCAGGCCTTTCTGAGCTGAGTCACAATCAAAACCCGGGTAGATGAAGGTTGGTAAGGGCCCAGCCGCAAGTAGCTGCGGCCGCCTTTTCAAGTCCTTACATGGTTCTGAGCTCACCATTTGTGTACCAGGTTTTGATTATGACTGAGCTGGCATGCTAAATCTTGGAACACGTGGATGTCACTGTTTGCCCCTAGCTTGGACCCAAGTTTCCTGATTGACTTGAGCTCCTTGATTGTGATTCAGGCACCAAATTTCCTGCGGTCGGCATGCGACGTGTGGCCACCATGCTTGTCGCAGCTCAGAGGATGTTGAGAACAGGTTGCTTTGGTGAGCAGGAGCCTCGCATGCAGCAGCGAGAGTTGTCTAGTTCCGGCTTGCAATGGACAGTGCCAACTTTGGCAAACTGTTTGAAGGTTACTTGTGTATTGAGCAGCGTGCGATGGCTTCAGTGAAGACAGTCAGACCTATGTTTCATTCTAAATCAGCTCTTGTTTTTTGCGGAGGAGTAGCACCTCTTGTGCTGCCAGGTCACTCGCAACGCGCTTGGCACACTGAAGCCAGCAGAGGGCCCAGCATTGCCAATGTAGAAGTTGCTGGAACAAGTCAACCGCTACTTGATCACTCTTCCAATCAGACTAGAATACTTGAGCCATCTTGAGCTTCTGAGACAAAGACGCAAACAAGGCGCCATGCTGCAAGCAGCTCTGCAGCTGCAGTTTCTGAAGCATCTCAAACCACGTTGATAGCAAACATCCAGCCAGTTTGCCAAGGGCTCCTTGCACCTCCTGTGCACGCACTTTGTGGCATTTCTGTCTGGGGCTCAGAGAAATGGACAGGTTTACTAAGGCCAGTGCCTGTGGCTTGATGAAATCCAGTGGGTGTGCCCGTATGTCCAAAAGCTAGCTCCGACGTGGGAGTCTGGCCACTGCCTCCAACACATTTGTTGGTTGTGTGCCGTCACATCAATCCATTGGAACAAGACATAAGACATGGAAAAATATCCTGTCAAAGAAGCCATTCTACACGTATACATGCATAGGCAAATCACGATACGAGTCACTACTGCCTATGCGATAGAATTGGTGGTGCAATAAGATTCGAGGAAAGTCCGAGCTGCAGGCTGCTATCTCTGTGTGCATGTGTGTGTGTGTGTGCGTTTGCGCGAGTGTTAGCTGCAGCTCAAGCGTTTCTCATTGTGCAAAGCAGTGGTTTCTCAGACAATGACAGACAAGGAATTGTTCATCTCCGAGCCAATGTTTACCGCAGCCGGTCTTTTACAGCTTGATAAGATTCTTACTACGACCGAAGCATGCAACATAGAAGGTGCAGATGCACACATGTCCGTCAGTGTCCCCTCTGAAGCCTGAGAAGTCTTTTCGAGGGCCCAGTTTCTATTGTTTTTGTATTACACCCTGGGAATACACCCACTGGGTATTGACCCCATTTAGGCACATTTCCCAATAAAACCGTGTTATTCTGAACCACTCTGGGTCATTTTCCAGGAGTGTATCCGAGGGGGTAATACAAAAACCCTCAGACAGTTTTTTTTCTCGAACGAAGGTCGGCTTTCCTGGACGGCAAGCCCACTGCCTCTCCAGCGCTGAGGGCCGCTGGCCTGCTGCTCCAGTCGATGCGCAGGATGGGATTGAGTGAAGGGCAGAGTCCGCCAACACACGAAACAAGCACCAGACTTCATTCACTCTTACGCAGTTCTATCCTCAGATTCCTAGTCTATTTTCAGCATCCCTTGGTCCATTTGCAGATCCCCTCATTCCATTTGCAGATCCTTACTCATTCAGTCGACCTTTTTGTAGTTCCACGGGGATTGCGCGAAGCGCGTGGAGAGTGCCGCGCTTTGAAACTTTGTCAGGAAGCTCTCGAGCATCGGAGCTGTTCCGGACACCGGCTCGCAAGCAAGGTGGTTTCTCTGTCGTGGAAGATGGGGCATGTGTTTCTTGCTCAACAAAAAGAGGGCCCAACAAACCTAGTTTGTGGAAATACCTGGCAAGATTTGAGGTCCCCTGATATGTTTGGAGCACCCATGTTCAATGCCTGCAACTTGTGTGTGTGTGTGCGTGTGTGTCAGTTGGTGGCCTCAGTCACCTCATTTGTTTGCCAAAGCTAAGGACTGCTTGGGAATGCTGGAGGAGCGCCTGAAGTCGTGGCCGATGTGACCACTCAGACCATCGGCGCGATGGCAAGGAAGGTTCAATGGACAAGGATCATGGAGTAGCGAGCCACTCGTGAAAGGATGTCCTCACAACGCGAAGATGTGCCGACCGCTTCGCTGGACTTGGAATCGAGATGAGAGGTGCTCCAACTCTTCGAAGCCCTGAGAAGAGCGTGAAGCTGAGTGGCCTTTGTGACGCACATTGGAGCGCACTCAGACTGAAAAAAGAACAAACATGTATCCTTACGCTCGCATCCCACTGCATGTTCTGCCGAATGCTGTGTGCTTCGGAGGTTGTCAATCTGGTGTCGCCTTCCCCAACGACGGATGCCATGTGTGCCACAAACTCACTGAAAGCTTTGCACGTATCAGCGCCGTTGGTTGCTGGCTTAGAAGCAACGACGCCTGAATTGATTCCATAGACGTCAAATCAATGGCTAGCAAACACTTGCCAACACGGAGTGCTGTTGGAGCGTCGCTTCCATGTGTCCACCATGTGTGACAGTGCGTATGTTTGTGATTACATGCACGTGTTTGTACCTTTTGTTGTGTCAGTTGTGCAAGGCAAGAACAAATATATGCCAGGCACACTAATTTTTAGCGCAAAACGGTCACACAGCAAGGGCTTCCTGTGAGCTTTTGACTGGCCCTTGATGGCGGGGTTGCTGCTTCTTGCAACCTTCATCCATGGTGTCTACGGACAGGCAGGCTCAGTCTCGACGCTTCGCAGCTCTCCATCTCTGCCATAGTTTGGAATCGGATCGGCGAGTTTCTGCGTTTGAGGCCCTGTTCCTGAAATATGTCTAGGTTCCCCAGTAGAGGCCTTTTACCCTGTACATCCTGTACTAAGATAGACTGCAGAAAAAAGGGTACCCGTATTCTATCCTCTCTACTACCTAGATGTGCAACGATGGCACCAGTTTCTCGAGGCACTCGGGGGAAAAAAACGTTCAGTTGACCCACAGGCCAGCGTGGTGGCGTTTCCACAAGCGGTGCTGATTGACGGCTGCTACTGGAAGGACGCGAGGTGACCTTCCGCGCGATCGATCCCCGAGTTGTTTTTGTTTTTCCCCGCTGGAAGAGGTTGATCCCCCGGCATGGAAAGGGATTCCTGAAGTACTCTCCTGTTCAACATGGAACCCGCCTAAGCTACTGGTCCCTTTCACAGGAGAATCATCGTCCAGGAGCCCTTAGTCAGGTTCCATGTTGATGGACAGGAGGGTACCTCTTTGATCGCGGTCACAATGCTGCGTTTCCTTGCAACTGTTTTGCCTCAAAGTCTCAAAGTGGATTGAGGGCTGATCACCAGCTGCAAGGCCAGGCAGACGGTAGAAGAGCACGAGGCAATTCTTGCGTTGCGCTGTGCTGAAATGGTTTGATAGCGATCAAATGTTTGTTCAGGTACTACTCGCCTTCCACCAACGAGACCCAGACCTCGACGATCTATGATTGTCAAAAGGAGTGCGACATGGCCTCAGCTGCATGCGATGCCTTGGGTGCATTTTGCCTAGGGATGTTAGGACTTTCACTTGTTGCCAAATATATGCTAAACCACTAAAAGTTAAACTTTGTTCCATTAAACCACTAAAAGTTAAAAGCTTTTGGCAGGGGAGCAGAAAGCAACCGAGATGTGATGCGATGCAGTTTCTGCAAAGGGACACGTTGTCCTTCCACAGCGCCAGTGCGCAGATGTTCCCCACTAGCTTGCCGCGCTGCAGGCAATTCACTATTACAAGCTCCTTTCATTGTGGCCCCTGTTTGGGGAACATTCGAAGATAGTGGTCCCATTGGTGCATTTTGCTTGGATGTTAGGACTTTGACTTTTTGCCAACTAATGGGTTTTCCATTAAACCACTAAAAGTTAAACTTTTAGCAGGGGAGCAGAAAGCAACCCAGATTGGTTTCACCCTTGAAATCAGCCGAAAAGTATGCCCCGAACAAGCGGCACATCCGTTTGATGAGCGACTTGGCTTTCTGGCAACGAGGTGGGCACGCCGGGCTGCGCCTATTTTGGCTTCTGGCCGTCAACGGGTTCCTGCTATTTGGCGGCCGAAGATGCCGCAGGGCAGCCAAGCACAGAGATCCGTGCCAGTCCCCAAGAACGCCACGACCCAAACCTGGGTCGTTGAGCGTTCACCGAAAACGCGAGGCTCCCATCCAGAAACTTGGAAACAGAAGCAAGCGCCTTGTATCTAGTGCCGGCATTGCTCAATCCATACACCATACTCAAGGTGCCAGCTTGAGCATCTGATGAAAGCTGTCAATGCTGCGTCATTGACCCGCAGGAGTTATTCGGGATAGCAAACCAAGACCACCCAGCGTCTGGGGGCATCGTGTGGACTCAATTGATCTTAGTTTTGGAAGATAGTGTTTGATTGAGGAACCAGTAGAACATTGTGACCTGGATTTGTTGCCGGCATTTTGATGTCTGATGCTTCCGACCAGCCCATCCCAGACTTTCACCACGTACCTGGCAGAGGGAGGCTACACAGGACCAGCTGTGTGCCGAGGGCTCAGCATGTGAACGTGCACCAAAACAAGGCGAAGTCGGAGAGGTTGATGCCTGGAGCTTCAGATGTCCTGTTTCTTTTTTGTCTCAAGCTTTTGGAGAACACACTTCCACGATGCGTGATGCGGATATCTCATAGTTTCGGAATCTTTGCAGAGCTGGGGTCATTCACCCCCAAAAGCACCGTTCTGATTAGCGCTATCCTTCCCCTCGCAGAAAATCCACAAATGGAGCACAATTCCAAACTACACAAGCTATTATCGCAAGTACTACGTTTGCCACAACAGATCTCTTAAAAGTCAGCTGTCCGGAAACACGTTTCTTACCACAGTTTGCTTAAAAATCAAGGCTTGACAAGCTCACCATGGGATCCCCTTCAAGCCCTGTTGCCCCCTCCCCCCAAATTGCACAAAGCTCCCCTGGCTAATCATGGCTCTCGTTACTCTCCTCATGGCACTCATTGCTCTCCTCTCGCAGTCTTGTTGGCCCAGACAAAAAGAGGACGGGGAGGACGAAAGAGGAGGGGAACTAGGGGTCCAGAACGACCCTCCAAAACTCAGCAGCAATCTCTGGTGCTACAAGTAACTCAGCCGGCTCGGCAGCCCTCGGCTTCCCTGCTTTCAGGCCCCAATACACCCAGCGTATGTACGGAGATGCCCGACACTCAGGAGAGTTTTGCGGGGGACGCGGGGGAAAATGGATGCTCCGAAGCCTAAGGGGAAGTACTGCTGTAGCTGTTGAGGTTTTATTTGGTCACAATGCGCCTCACGTTGATTGGGGTGAAGACCCATTTTAGCTTATGCCCCAAGAGTCGCAAGAGACAGGAAACACAAAGAGTTGTTGAAAGAGTGATCCGTTTGGTTTGGATCCCGGCCGAAATGATTTTCAGGGATTCAGTCGGCTAAGTCTTCCACTTGCTTAAAAATTGTTTTCCCCTGTTGGGTTTAAAGGGAATCTATCACTGGAATCATTTTTGATTTTTCCCAGGGGGCGCAAAAGCAATTGGAAGGTTTTGGAGTGGAGGTTTTATACAACATACAAAAGAGGTACATGCCTTGCAGGCTTGTACAGCAAATGGAGGAAGTGCTTGACCATCTTCGTGGCTTTTCCTCTCGCCCAGTCCCTCGCCCGCCTACCCGGCCCTGAACACGTTGAAGTCGAAGCTGGCCGGGGTCTCGACGGCAAGACCCGGCGTTGCTAGGTTTGGGCTCTTGGGGTGTGGAACGCAGAAACCCTGGGGTCGAAAGTCATGGCAGTCACCGATTTTGAACTCAGTTTTTGAACCTTGAAGCCTTTGCCATAGGCTGGGCCATGGAACTGAACAGTTGAGAGCGGATCAAGTTATACAGCCTGTCTTATACAGCAAATACGCTGGATGGGTCGGGAAAGATAGGGCAGCGCGGTGAAAGAATGATTTGTTTGTCTAGCAAGACGGACTTGTAGCTGGCTGCATGTTGTGCAACTTGCTTGTCTTCTGGCTGATCGTCTATTTTCTGGTTGTAGCCTCGCTCACACCTCGAATCATATGGTCAAAAGACAAATATTGGCTTAGGCTTTGCGGGGGTGGTCAGGCCCTGAACAAGAGCACAAGAAAGCCCCGACCAGGGTTCATTTGGCTTGCGCTGGTGGATCCCAAATATTATATTGTATGTGTGTTTGTTGTATCTACATACAGTACACTGCGGTTGTACTGATATTGCATTATTTCCATGAACACATACCTTCTCATACCTACACCAACCATCACATCACAATATCTATTCCCACAATATTGCAATATTAACGCATTGCACATACCTAGAGATACTCTGGATCTTGCACCGCTTCGAAACCAAGGGAAAACAAGGTTTGTTGGTTTTTACAAGGAATCATCATTCCAGGGTTTCTTAGGTGGTGCAGGATTTCGTCCGTCCACAGTACCTACAGATCTCCAAACCAACGTGGGCTTTTCGCTGGGGACTCCGTGCAAGCCGCGCGCCTCACGACTCGCCAGGCCTGGCCCGCTCACATGGTGCCCTCAAAGCTCTCGCCAGCTTGGCATGATTTAGCCGGACGAATCTTCCAGTCGCAAGCCCTGCGCCCATTTCGCGAGAGAAGCGCTGTTTGGATCTGGTTGCCAAGGGGTATGTCAACTCAACTTGTGGTTCATGCCCAAACCCCCAGTTCTCATACACAGTGTCCAGCGGGTTGCCTTCTGAGCTTTCAGCTAGCCCGGCCTCTCCCAAGACTAGAGGCAGAGGTGAGTGCAGTGTAGTATGGCCCGTGAGTTTCTCATGCAGTCGTCGCGTTTGTGCTTTATGCTGATGCTGATGCTTTCGGGAAGAGAGACCAGCGAGGTCTCGGATCCAAGGATTCATGTTCCTCGTGTTTGACACTGGCTGCCCTTTCCTGACAAAAAGACTGGCAGGCTTTCTCCTCATGTCCATAGCAGGGCAAACATACCTGAGATGGGAGCACTTTGTGACTCGATTCTTTCGCAACCCGAGATGGACCACTCGACTCTTGCCTTGTCCCAGGTGCTGGCCGAAAGACTACATAGGCGACGATCGGGAGGGGTTCGAAGGTCACATTTGCGTGACTCGCTGACCCAAAGGCAAAAACATGGCGCTGCTTCCTTCCTTTCCAAGGCAGCTATGGGTGAGCCTGTTTTTGTTCTTATCCGGGGAGCCACTCGTTTGTTCTGGGCAGTTTCAAGCTCTCAGCACGGAGCTGCCCGGTCGCGCCAGGTAAGAAGTACAAAGCCTGCCCTACAGTTACAGTTCTGGAGGACCTGTTGGAGCTGGGCTAGCTGGTGCTTAAAAGTTCCCCCAACTGCAAAAGTCCAGCCATGGGTCCAAATCCAACGATACGGCGGTGGTTGTCAAAACCAAAGGGATCCCATTTTGGGGAAGGTGCACCACCCATTTTAGAACCTATTTTAGTGGTTGGATTGGGATGTTCACATGGCCATATGTCGCGCGCCTGGTCGCTTGCTTCGGCCAAATCGGACGTCTGCCGAAAGCGGATCGCCCAGGACACGAAGAACGGGTGGCCCGGCAAATGCCATGGCCTCCTGGAGGCCCGGGGCAGCTGCGGGACTCTGTGCGGTTTTTTGTTTTCTGCAAGGTGCCAACAGTTTTTTTGGTTGGCTTAAAAGGGGAACCAAAAGGGAAGAACCGTTTTTGTAGGTTGGTTTACAAGCAAACCAAAAGGGAAAAACCCATTATAGGGGCTCCCCTGTATTTAGAAACATAGATGTATGAGGCAGATGGGTTTCATGTTACCTATTGGACTGGTAAAAAGGAGTCGACACGCCTTGTGCGACAGGTGGAGGTGCCTTACAAAGAGACCTGCGAGAGTTCTTGCAGCAAACAGGTGGCCTGCTCTGTTTGGCAGGCGCGAGCAAGCCGTGGTGTTGTGTTTAGCAAGAGAAGTGGTGCAGCCGACATCCATGACCGTTCCTGATTGATAGACAAAACCAAAACGCGCAAGCTACATTGACAGAGCACTTTTAGGCCTGGCAGCTGGTTCCAGGCACTGAACATAGTTTCCTACTGACAAGTATGCCCCACTACGCATCAGCTATCTCATTGGGGATGAGTAAGGTATGAAACTTAGGTTGAATGGAAGAGGCGTCGTTCACAAGCTCAGACTCGGGGAATGCGAGTTGATTATTTCGCGTTTTTTTTTGGACGATGGCTCAATGAATGCAGACATGGGTTTGGGTCAGTCACCTGGTTTTATTCGCGCATGCAGGAGGTGGAGAACACGTACCCACTGCCACCCCGATGCTTCCAAACCTTTTGGAGCCACTGGGAAGCATGGCAACGCGATCTCATCAAACAGATGACAGGTGCTTCATTAGAAGGTTTGCCATAGGAAGCTTTGATTTTGAAAGGAGAACGGCAGCTGTTCATTCGGAACATGTATATTCGAGTTTGTTTATATCAGTGCCAGCCATTTATGTTGCAGCGGGATCTGCATGTGTCAGGAACAGCGTACCAAGGTAGTGGCTATGATTGCTACACCCGGAACTTTGCCAATGGCAGCTTGGACACGACTTTCAAGCCCATGAGGTCACAGCGGATCATGAAAGGAGAGGCAGGGGAGATCGATGAGTGACCGATCGTCTTCACTCGGCGTTGCCCAGGTGCGAGTGTTGAAGAAGTTGAGCTTTGCCGCTGGTCTTAAGACAAGTGCCATGCAGAAAACAGGTGCTACAACAAAAGTTGACCAAGACTGCAAAAGGGTGGACATTGCCTTGATTGTCTGTTTCTCGATCCCTCTGCAGGAGAATATGATCTACTCTTGTTCCAGGGTATTCAGAGGAACCCTGGGAGACGCCAGCGTTGGCTGCGAGTGCCGGTTTCTACGAATAGGTCGGATATTCCTCGGTGCGCAGCAAGGTCGACATCGAGGATCTGAGGAACGTCTTTGACGAGAACTACTTCGCAGAGCCCAAGGCGCCTTGATTTGCAAGGCTGCTCAACTTCTGGAGCTTTTCGTGTTAGAATTCTGTAAAAAAAAAAAAAAGCGGATGTGGGGACACCCCGAAATTGGCATCGGTTTCCATTTTGGATTCTTTTGAAAGCCGAAAAAGGGCACCAAGCCTCAAGACAAAGCAAAACAACCTGTCATTTGGGCATCCGCAGGAGGCGGTCAAGGCCTGTCAAATGGCCTGCTACTCCGATCTGGGATGCCAGCACTGGGCTGAGAGACTGCAGCCATGGGTCGCCGATACGATTTCGGGGGGAGACGGTGGCTCTTGGTTTGGGAAAAGAAAAAGACGGGGCTCCAAGAATCATGGACCCATGGAGGCTGGCGATCGGAGGTTTTTGGAAGGGCTTCTTTCTGTTTGGGGACCCCCTTCCAGCCAGTTCCATGGTTGCTGGAAAGAGGGCATCCGTAAAACCAGAAGAGGCTGGACCTGACATGCGCGAACCTGTTTGGCTATGAATTTTGAAGGGGGAACGTGTCCACCAAAGGGTCCCGAATTAAAATCATGCCCATTTGAACCCGTTTGTTTTTTTTAATCAGGAAGGGCCGGCATGCAAGCTGCTCAGGTGGTGGGTGTACAGCCGAACGGAGGGCTCGATCCTTGGGGTGTCCGCGATCCCCTTAAGCCCGGTGGTTGGAAGCCCTGTGGTTTGGATTTGGATTCGAAAGTTCGGGCTGTGGGGAAGTGGGGAAACCCCTCCCTGACCTCTACACCACCAATTCAAACCACCAATTGGAGGGAAGCTGATTACAAGTGGTTGATGGACGCGAATGCCCCGAACTTGCTGTCCAAAGCGACCCCAAGTAAGATTCACACATGGCAGTACTCCCTCGTAAGGTTTGGATTCTGACCTACAGTGATTGCACTGCCTTCGTGGTAGGCAACAGGAGGTGTGAAGCTCGTGTGGCCGTGAGTCAACACCAATGCCATTTTGGGGTAGGTGCACCACCCATTTTAGGACCTATTTTAGCGGGGATTGGGATGTTCACTGGGGGTACGGGGGTTTGACCCCTAGCCGTGTCAGTCTTTTGGCTCTGCTCAGTGAGGCTGTTTTCTCGAAGACATTTCTTACAAAGCCTTGCCAGCCTTGGCCTCAGCCTTTGCCACAGCAGGAACGGAAGTTGAATCAAGGCACATCAGCCCTGAAGTCTGCTCGCTTTTGGGAAGATGTCACTGAACATGTTACCTGCAAGTGGTTTACTGCAAGTTGAGAACAGACGAAGGGGAGGCCCAGAGTGGGTTGCACTTATTGCCCGTCTCGGGACGCGGGAGTCCACTGAGGTGCCGCTGACCTCGGAGCACTACAAGCCGTTCTCCGTAAAAGCCGTTTCCTCGGTTGGCCGCCACGGGCGTTCTCGCAATTCGCAGATGCGCACGGATGCATCTGGGGTAGACTTAGGATACATTTTGCATTTTGCCAGTGACTCAAATAGCCAACAAAAAAATATACATTCTGTAGCTGGGCCTAACTCGAATCACCACGTTTGTTTGGTTCAAGGCCCCTCGACCTTGAAGGTCAGCAAAACCGGACACGCGTGTGCGTCACGTACAGGACGGCTGGAGTTGAACCGTGCAAAAGCAATGAAGTCCGACTGAAGCGCCACACAACACCAACTTTTTAACGTAACCGATAGAGAGGAGAAGAGAAAGCGACCGCACAAAAAACGGCGCACATATACGGAGCAAACGACACCACAGACCGTATACAAGCACGCAGACAGCTGCTGCACAGAAACCATTCTCCTGTCGCGTTGGCTATGCTGGTCCGATTCATCTAACAAGGATATTTATCATCAGGCCATGCAAATGATGCAGTGAAGAGGAAGCACTAAAGCAGCTATCAGCATACAACGCTGAACACGTGCCTGACAAAGCCAACGACGTGCTTTCACAACCGATAGAGGGAGTGTCGAACAAACTGGGCTTGAACAACATGAATTGATCAGGCAGCTGATATTCTGGAAGGGGAGTACATCCAGCATCAGTGCAAGGACAGCAAGTAGAAGCGACTTTGCCGAGAGTTCAGCGTCTTACACCGCGGTTGCGCAGGAGGCTGGGTACGCTGCCATTTCGTTGGGCACTCGGATAGATCTGGTCCGCCGTGTTTCAAGTCGCACGTGCCAAGCCTCATCAGGTCCACTCAGAAGATCCCCGAGTATTCCGAGCACAGCCCCCAGTGAGATTCCGAGGGCAGCATCCGTTAGGGTCGCCCTTTGTCCCGATACGGGTGACCGGCCCTCACAAAGAAAGTCTGGCCAGGCATCCAATCCTGGGTGTCCTACATGAACTAACCTCGCGCTTTGTCCGGCAGGACCACAACTACCACGACAACTACAAGTACAACTACAGCTTTTGCAATTGAGTTCTCCACCACAGGCACGCGCATGGCGCATGGGTGTCCTTTTTAGTTGGTTTGGTAGAGAAATAGATGGCCCTGGTTTACCTGGTGGTTTAATCAGCTACCAGGGCCATCTAGTTCCCCTAAAAGGACGCCTGTGGCATGGCGTCTATTTGTTGCAGTTTTGAGTTCCAATGTGCGCTTGGTGATTGCCACGTAGGCATATTCGTCTTTCACCACGACGCGGTGGCAGGCATTGGGTGGTGGGAGGGTGCTTGCAACAAGGCTGGCCGTCAATCGAGAAACTCAGTTGAGGCACAATGACAACCCGGGCAGGTGAAGGTTCGTAAGGGAGAATCCCAGCCAGAAATAGTTGCGGCCGCCTGCAAGTTTGGTTACATGGGTTTGGGTAGGGCATTTCAATACCAGGTTTTTGATTGTGACTCAATCTGCAACCTCAAGAATAGATTGTGTGAACATTAGAGACTGCGTGAAGTGAGCATGTAAGACAAGTGCAGGTGCAGGTGCTGGTGCTGCTGCTGGTGCTGCGCTTGACGTCAACAAAAGGGAACAGCAGGCAGGATGTGGGAGCGTGCATGGCTTGAGAGGAAGCGTGCATGAAGGCGTGCAACAGAGTATGCCTCTGAATGTGGCAAGCCTCAAAATGGTTGTGTTCCCTTTGTATGAAGCCAACAAAAGGGGCTGCCAAAAGAAGACAAGTCCGAGTCAATCCCAATTGCCTGCAGACTTGCGCTAGACCGAGCAGCTAATGCAGCTTCATTGGGTTGCCGCCTTGCGATTCATCACTCCTTGCTTTTGAACGCTTGGAACATCCCTTAAGCTGGTTGGTGGACAGAAATTCCTGTGTGAGTATGTCCAGCCAAAGGTCCCCGATCGAAATTCATCCCCTCTTCTTCGGAGTTGCTACTTGCGGCAGAGCGTCTGCTTATGGCTTCTGCCGGAGGTTCACCCGACAGAGCTACTCGCTGCAGGCGGCGTTGTGGTGCCTCGGCAAGTAGAAAAGTAGCAAGGATGCAAGTGGTTCCAGATTTGGAATGGTATGCTTACGGGTGCTGCAAAGTTGCTCCAGACTAAAACAACCTTTTTGCGTGAAAGTAAGAAGTGATTTGGTTCTAGCTCATGAGCACTACAAAACCTGAGCGCATCTGGGCTCAGTCGCTCCATCACAGCATAGCCTGAGCTGCACAAGTTGTTTGCACACATGTGATCGATCAGCGAGGGCAATTTGCAGTCCATGTACTGCGCTATGATTTGCAGATAAGCTGTTAGAAGCTCGAAGAGGTGCCTGTTTTATGTTGGATTTGTGCGCACACACTCGCCTATTGAAACTTCACTGCCAAGAAGGTTTCTGCAAAAGGAATCGTTTGTTTGTATGATGCGAAACTGCAGGAGGTGTTGACGGAAGCACCATTGGCGCCAATTTGATGGTCAATTTCATCCACAAAAAAAATCAAGGGCAACCCAAGCTCGCCAGGGCTGTGAGTTGTGCTGTAGTGCTTCGTTGCATCGCCCTGTCGCTCGTGCTAAGGTCGAGGGTGTGGACTTGAATTTGATCCCCGTCGACCTGAGGCTGTTCACGGAAACGCATAGCAGTGTGCACGGCTGTTGACGTGCGAGAGTGCTAGCGGTTTCTCGCCTCACACATGTACATGAGAGAATAGTGGTTGCGACAGGACAAAACTGTCAGAACGCCTTGCTCTGATCATTTCAGCCAGCACAGGCCAGAGCGGCAAAGGGTGGGTGAGACCCGACGGCGCACATGGCGCCTATGTACGAAGCGGAGTTGGCGTTGATCTACTGTTTGCAGAATGTTTGGTTTGGCCGTTTAGGAGGTGTGTCAGGTAATCATCATGCAAATCTGTCCTCCATGGTATTAAGCAGTTGCGCTTTACCGGTAGGATAGCAATGGCCAATCAGCTAGAATGGCTGCAAGCTTGTAGCAGCTCAAATGGGTATGGGTCAAAATTTAATCACCAGGGGACCGCAGGTTTTAGTCCTTGGTTCCATTTACCAGGGTTCCAGTTTGGGTACCAATTTTTGACACACAGCCAAATGGTCGAAATCTTAAGGTCTGCCTGTGTGCCCAGAAGTGTGCTGTTTGTGGATTGCACAGATGGACACGCCCGATCGTGCACGAGCTGGGTCAGACCTTGACACTCCTTCTGAATTTGAAAGGCGACTGCCACTTGTTTCCTGACAAGACAACATCTGAATCTTTGATTGAGGGCATTGTGCCACAATGAGAAGCAGGCAGTGTGCTGGCTGCTGCCGTTGCTACTGCTGTCTCCGTTGCTGCCGCTGCTTCACTGGTGGTTTTGATATTGGTGGGGCCTTGAACCTCAGGTTCTTGTAGCTGGTGAATGGGAAACCGCCCCCTCACCTCCCAACCAATCCAAACCACAAGCTCGTGTGACATGCGAACAGCGGCACCCTGGAGGACTTTCGAAGTACGACGTGCTTGATTTGAACAACGAGGCGGGCAAACCTATCGGTAACGCCGGCCCCCCGAACCGGTGACATGTTCGTTATATCGACGTACTTTTTCTGGGGGAGGCGGAGCGCTGGATAGATCGAGATTCTTCGCGCAAACTTTGGGCAGGACCTTGATGAAATACCAGGCTGTGCTCATCACTTCAATTTTCGGAGGTGCTGTGGATGGGCAAAACCCTGCATCACCTAAGAAACCCTGCAATGATGATTCCCCCGTACATACCAACAAGCAGTGGTTTCAACCATGGTTTCAAGTGGTGCGAAATGGATTTTGTCCACCCACAGTATGAATCAGCAGCCGCTTTTGGAGATCAACTCGTGACACCTGTGCAGCCAGGCCGGGAAGGTCTCCATTCAGACGCAAGCTCAGCTGGGGTTCAAATCCCCACACGCTCGGCATGTTGGCAAGTTTGAAAGGGTTTGTCTCCACATCAGAAGCCACAAGCGCGACACTAGCCGTGGTTTGCTTTGAATGGTCAGCTGTCACTGCATCAGGGTTTGCACAAAGGCTTGAAAGATGTCCTACAAGAGCCACATCTCACACAATATGTCGCTTAAGCGAAAGGCAGTTGGCAATGATGATTGCAAACGCATTGAAAGTTTAAACAAAAAAAAAAGCCTATGTGAAGGACCATGGAGTGGTTGTTATTCTGCAGCGTCCTTGTCAAGGCTGTGCCAGATGATGCTTGAATCGCCATGTTCAAGTCATGATCTTCATTATCTCCAATACTGCCTGTGTTGACCAGTCTTCGCATCACGTTGGTCGCGGCATAAGCATCTTGAATTGTCAGCTGCTATTTAATATCATCAAGAGAGGGAACTGAAAGGGGCTGAATTGCACCGTGAAGTCATCAAGCCCTGTCGGCCATGCTCCGCAATTGAGCGGCGATGGAAGCGGCCAAACTGACATCGATAGTATCGATTCCGGCAGCATTTCGGGCTTCCAACATCTTTGCCGTTTGCATCGTTGCATCTGAAACCACCATGGGGGATGGCTGAGCCGCGCCAATGTGCCACCAGAAACCGCAGATTTTAGTCCATGTTTCCATTTACCGATTGGGCAACCCAGTTTGGGGCCCCAGCAAATCTATTTTGACCACCACAGCCATATGGGTATGGGTCAAAATTACACCACCAGAGGCCCGCCGGTTTTCATGCTTCCATTTACCAGGGATCCATTTTAGGTACGATGGAGTCGCGAAAGATTCGCGAAAGAAACTGTTTTTCTCGCGAAGATGGCGTTTTCTGGAAACAGGAATATTGATCAACTGCCATATGGTGTCCAAGGGGTCGCCCAAGATGTGTTGGTTTTCCCGCTGGGTTTCTCTTGGAACTCCTTAAGGTCCTGGCAGCCCGGCTGGACGGTGGTCCGAAGACTCCAGCTGCTCGAATGAGCTGTGAACAAGCCCTGCGATCCGTGTGAAATTGGTGAAGGAGGCAAACCCAGGGATCCCCTTAAGAAAACCACCAGGGATTCGAAATCGGTAGGGAAGGAGAAGTGGATTGAACCGTTTCGGGCTCCCCTAGGATGGAAGAAAACCCGGTGCAAATTGACTGCTGTGCCCCAAAAACGTGGGTTGATGGGTGCTGAAAATGGATTGATGGATCCAAACACAAAGCCGGGATTTGCATGGGTCTTACTTTTGATAGTGACCGCAAGCATGGAATACATTGACATTTTGACACAGGGCGAACTTCTGAAGACGTGTCATCAATGTATTGGATAGCAACGGCTGCAAGAGATGATGGTTGAGTAGGGCAGAGGCCTGCATGTTTGGGCAGTTTCATTGGTGCATCTGAGGACTACCCATCCAGCCATCAAGGCTGTCTATAAGCTGATGAACCCAGACGGCTGCTCTCTCAGCACGTCAAGCGGAATGAGTCTTGCCAGTGAGGGATGCATACCGCAGGCAACGGCCGTGAGTCAAGACTTGAAATCAGTTTATGCGCTGAAGGCAAAGAGACCTTCACTTCAGTGCAGAACGAGCTCCTCGATCAGTCGTTCAACTCAGAGGCCCAGTCAAGGTTTGAACCCTCCCTTCACAAGCCACGGTGGTCAATCGCAGGGACCCGGATGATCAACGCATTCGAAACCTGCTTCCCGTTGCATGCGCTGAAACGCCAACCTTGAGCTGTTTCACCATATCTCGAAATGGATTGGGCGCAGTGCGCTGCCATTGAATTCAAAAACGTGCGGCCCTCTTTGAATGGCTGTGCTTGCTGTTGACGAACCTGGGCTCTCTAGGAAATCTTGAGGTCTTTTAAGGCCGTTGGTGGTGGCTAGGGGTCGACTTAGAATCAAGTGCTGGCCATTTCTGGAAGGGGTCGATCTGTCATAGTTTGGCGCGAGTTTAGCTTCTATGAGGAGCCAGCAAGCTTCAGCCTTCAAGGCACTATGCATATCCCGCCCATTCCCCACCTTCCGCCAAAATTTTCAGGTGCAGAACACGTGCGCCATGATGCTTGCGAACACTGCGGCCATACCAGACGCTCGCAGTCTGACAGCAACGGCCGGGGCCTTGAGGAAAAATGGCGTGCCATGGCCAGAACCAATGTCACCTTGGTCCACCTGGGTAAAATGCTGGTTTCCTTTATGGAATGCACCCAGGGTTCTCTTCTCCGCCAAAGACAACCACCTGGATGGTTTAGTTCGGGGGCATTCCATTTCTCATGCCTATCGCACCGATCGCAAGTGGCTAGTTCGCCACGATTCCAGTGGCTCAGTTTGCCAGGGAACGCTGCGGGAGGCGCTTTTTTGGGGAGAGCGGACATCCGCAGCTTTCCACAGATTTGTGTTGCCACTTGGGACCTCGGCAAATTTGCTGTTGGCTCCCTGGAGCTTCCCCTCAAATCTGTTCTTTTTGTTTCGTTCCACCTGGTTGCAGAGAAATGTGTTGGCCGTGAGAGTCGCTTTTGCCAGCTGTTCGCAATGATACCCTCATGAGGTTTGTGGCTCTGCGGTTGGGGCATGTCCCGAAGCAAAGACTCGAGTTTTGGCAATCTGCCAGCCTGAGCCCAACGATCTGCTTCCGGCCGGCGCAGAGAAGGCAGGGCAGTGGACAAGGCAAGTGTCAAGCAGAGGCTGGCGGCGATTGATGGCTCAACACGAGAGAGCTTCTGAAAGCTTACGCCTCAAACTGACTGCATAAATCCGCTTGGATGTCTTGCGCCACGGATGTGTTTTTTTTTTTTTTGTTCGCGCCTCTTAGCAGTCCCGATCCTCGCCATTTGGCCATCCTTTGGGCGTGGCCTTCCTTGAAATCACCGACCTGGTGAGACGCAGATGACGCAGTGTTTCATTCACCTCACCCATTCCAGGCTGTGAGCTTTGGACAGCTCAGATACCCTGCAAGATCGCTCAGGATCGTTTCCGGATGGCTCTCAGCTGGCGCGCAACCGTCATCTTGGGGCACCGTTTGTAGAGCACCGAGCACCAGAGCGCGAGCGCTCGTCTGGCGTCTCCTCGCAAGAGACGTCAAGCTCACGGGCGCTTGTTGCTTCAACTGGCTCGTGTTTCCGGCAGGTCCGATCTCACGGTGGCAATATGCAGGCAGGGAACGTCGCCTATTCCATGAGCTAAATGCAGTTGGCGTACCTTTGATTGTTGCTGTTCATAGTGCAGCCTTTGCTGCCATTCCCTGTGCCAGTTGTGGCTCTGGGTCTTGGGTGCCGTTCTGGTGGCAATGATCTTGGGCATCATCTACTGGCTCTTTGCGGCGGGGTGAGCGGATCTGCGCGAATCATGATTGGCATTCGGTGAATGATAGATCCAGCTGCTTGCTGTCGGATTCCAGACCGCATGTCAGCGTTTCCTCTATTGTTAGCGTGGCAAGCAGAAGGCGTTGCCAGAGAACACTGTGCGCTGACAGGGCAACGCGGCGAGAAACCAGCAGGCCAGGGTGCACGGCCTTCATTCTGTTGGCTGTCCGGCCTTTTGTTGTAAAAGTGTTCCGGCTTTGCAGCTTTTGTAGATTCGTTGTTTCTGCATGAACAAGCAGTCAGAATTGGCAACAAGAATAGATGCTTTATATGCTTTCCAAGTAAGTCGTGAGCTTCCTTCCTCAAGGAATCTGAGAAGGTACCTGTTTCCCTCGCGGAATGGTATTTTGATCACTTCTGCATCAAGGGGCGGCATGTTGCTCGCATCACAGTGTAGGTCTCCTTCAGCAGGAAATCCGAGAACAAGCAAGTTCAGTTCCAGAAGTTCTCTCAGGCAGGATAGCATGCATTTCCTATCATATGCTGGCTGTGCAGCATGTGTTGGCAGCACATGAGTTCCATTGGACGTGTCCTAGTATTCCATCAGAGGGCCGTCCAAGGTCAGGAGACTTGACAAAATGATGCCTTTGCAGCGATTTGCTGGGGGCATTTCTCACGCAGCCTGCAAGCCCTTTCTCCGTCAGTTGGTTTATGCGCAGTGTGCATTCAGGATGATGATGAGGCGGGTAGTTTGAATGCCATATGCGACAAACCATCCATGTCATGTTTCATCCGGCATGCAACATGTAATGCAGATGCTATTTCATGTGCTGGTGTCATGTAGTAAACCGCAAACCGGTAAAAACATGTGAGATGGTTTCCAGAGCGTTCCAATGCTGGCCGATCCCAGGCTCCAATGCTGGCCGGGTTGCCAATCGAAGGGCATGTTGCGCATATCCTGCGACGTGTCTGAGGCCAAGAAGCAAGGAGCCCTGCCCTGAGATGCCCTGAGAAACCGAGAAACCCTGTGGCCAACGCGCACACGTGACGCAGGTGGCATCCCCGAAAAGAGGAAGCATCCCGGAGGACGGGCCATGACCGCGGTCTCAGCTTAAATGGCATTTACAAGCAAGCACAGCTGCCAAAGGCCGTTTCATGTTTTTTTTTTTTAGGTCAATGCCGTGTCGCACAGCCTTCTGCCTCGATAGAGCATGTGATTTGGAAAACATTTCAGCATGGGGCACGCGTTTCTTTGCTTGAGCGTTTGCCGGCAGCAGTTTGGCCAAACCCATAAAGCGGGTGTCAAGGGTGGACTGCTTGAGAGTCAATGAAATGCCTGCAGGCTGAAGCGCGCGCGCTGCAAGAAGCCTCCCGGTTGTCACAGGAAGTGGCAGGGCTGCCCAGCCAACGCACTTGCGTGGCGCACGTGAGCCACAGTCAAAACCCAGGTAGATGAAGGTTAGTACGGAACAATCCCAACCATGAATAGCTGCGGCCTCCTTCTTAATTCTTTACATGGTTGTGGGTAGACCATTTTGCTACCGGGTTTTGACTATGACTCACGTGGGTTTGATATTTCATCCAACCACTTTTGAGGTGGCCAAATGTCCAATGAGTTGCGTATGAATGGCCAGGCTGTCTGATAAAGTGTCAATACATGCTGTACAAAGCTTTGAATCGTGCGTCTGAGGCTTTGCCATACATGCCGCAGGTGCGCAGTTGCTTGACTCGACAACCCCAAACCAGTTGGCCAAAGAGAAGGCCTAGCCTAGGTCGCAAAGAAGATAATGGGCGTCATGTGTGTGTGTGTGTAGGTGCATGAAGGATGCCTGCTCAAGCGAAAATGCCCCAAGGAGTTGTGCCATTTGGTCAGGGATGGTAGCTATTTCATCACCAAATCTCCCAGATTGTGCACATAGCGCATGAGCCAGAGTCGATTGGGATTCTCATCTCTCATGCCCCAAAGAAGGCGAGTCGTGCCGGCACCAAACAAAGCCATGTTTCTCCAAAGACGCAAGCGGAACGGTGTATTTCTCGTTTGGTTAGAATGAAGGTGGGGTTATGCCAAGGAAGGCGGCTATCGGGATCATTTGAACCGTATTGCCAGGACAACATGTCCGGCGGCATGTCTGGCAGCTACGGCGGCTACACGTCTGGCGGCTACAGGGCTGGCGCCCAAGAACTTACATTCAAGCCTAAACCCTCAAGCTGAAGTGTTGGAATTTCAAAGCTCCCTTGGAGTGCCGCAAGTTTTGGATCGCGACTTGCAGGCTAACGAGGTTGCTTCCAAAAATCGGCACAAGACAGTGGCCCGCAATGCCCATCAGATACCTGCAGCATGACTCGCAATTCGGCCCGCATGCCAAGGCAGCGCCACCCCTTTATCGATAGCAGCTTGGACTGTGGCTTGGAACCAGACAGATCCATTTGAGAGGGTTGCCAAATGCCACAAGAGGTCAGTTGTTTGCCCTGGAAAAGACTTTTGAGTTCAACGCAACGTCTCCCTCTGGAAGTCACAGAGGTGAGCCTGGAGCGTTTGCGCCGCGCTTGCCGGAGGCCGTTGGCAAGCTGGCACGATGCGCATGCTGGACGTCATGTTTGACGGATACAGCTAAGTCAGAAGAACATGATGTAACTCTAGTCTTGAGCAACCTCACTGCAAGATGGAACCGATCCAGGATTCCTTGATGCCAAAGTTTTGCGTTTGTGCAGCCGGTTGTTTGCCTTGCCAAGTTTTGACGAGTCGAGACTTTGGAACGCCCAGTGTACAATGGCCCACATGAGACAGTTGTGAGAGTAAGCTGCGGAAAACAAGGGAAAGCGCATACAAGCAGCGTGTTTGAACATCTAAACGAAGGCAACACAGCTGGCGCCAGCAAGAATGAGCATGTCATATTATGTGCTGGCACTACCCCACTGCTTCTGTTTGACTCGTGGTTCTTGATCAATGCTTTTCCGAACATCGCGAGCTCCGCGGGACGCAACGTGTGAGCTACCAGCTTCTAGCCGCAAGGTGTAGCCAGGAAAATGATTTGTCGTTGATTTGCATCCTCAGTTAGAAGTATTGAGGATTCCACTGGCAATGGTGCCGACGTCAAAAGTCTGAGCGCAGGTGTGCGCCATGCGTGGCTGAGCCGATCACTTTCGCAGAAGCTCATTCAGCCATTCAGACATCAGCTGTCCACTTAAAGTCATTATGAAGGTTGACGAATTGTTTTACACCAGATTGCATTTGTGTCCATCGAGTTTGCGACGCAAGAAGGCAATGTCAAGCTGCATGAGACTGCGCTGCAGCAAATGCCATGCATCAAAGCGTTGCCTGATGAATTGTCTTGCAGCAGAACGGCTGTTGCACACATGCCAACGGACAAAAGGATCCTTGCCGCTGTGATGGTAGGATTGCTTGCACCAGGCACCATGCATAGCTGACGAGCACCCCCCGTGATAGCGTCCATGCCTTGTTGTGCTGCCACTTGGGGATTGAGTTCAGCTGTAGAGTAGTTGACTATACAGCCGCGCGTTGAAGCTCTGTGTTGCAAGATGGTGTACAACTGGAGCAAGTACGATGGCAAATACTACCTCAACGGTGCCTTGTGTGGCGGCATTTGCTGCTCCATCACACACGGCGCCTTGTGCCCTGTAGATGTGGTGAAGACTCGCATCCAGCTTGACTCGGTGAAGTACCAGGGTGGTCTCCTGAGCGTGGGCAGGCAAGTTGTGGCTGAGGAGGGTGCTTCGGTGCTCGCAACAGGCTTGGGACCTACTGCGATGGGCTACTTTGTGCAGGGATGGTTCAAGTTTGGAGGCAACGAGTTCTTCAAGATTCAGTTTACCAAGTCGTTGGGTGACCAGAAGGCATGGGACATGAAGACACCCATCATGCTTGGAGCCTCAGCTTGTGCGGAGTTCATCGCAGACATCTTCCTGTGCCCACTCGAGGCTGCACGCATTCGTCAGGTGTCTGACCCCACCTTCCCCAAGGGCACCCTGGCCGCCATGCAGACCTTGGTGCAGAGGGAGGGCCTCATGGGCTGGTATGCGGGCTTCTTCCCCATCCTCTGCAAGCAGATCCCATACACCATGGCCAAGTTTGCAGTGCAGGGCACTACCGAGATTGAAATCTACAAGGCTCTGCCCTACAAGCGCGAGGAAATGAGCAAGGGGCAGAAAATGGGTGTGTCCGTGTCTTCCGGCTTCATTGCTGGAGTGGCAGCAGCCATCATCTCTCATCCTGCTGACTCGCTCTTGTCCAAGATCAACAAGAAGGGCGCTGGTGGCGACGGCGGCATGGTGTCCCGCCTGGCCAACATTGCCAAGGAGACCGGATTCGTGAAGCTTTGCACCACTGGCCTTGGACCCAGGTGCATTATGATTGGCACCCTCACCGCTGGCCAGTTCCTCATTTTTGACACCCTGATGCCCATCATGGGAGTTGAGAAGTTTCACTTCCACGACCCATCCAAGCCTCACTGAGCAAAGGGTCCATCGCTTAGGCTGAAACTTTGCCCAAAAGGCAATGTACCACAAGCCACAGAAGAAAATGGAAGATGGAGATATTACTGTAAGTGCATTGGGTACTGCACATGAATGTACCAAAAACATCCTAAAGACATGGAAGAGATGTGCAGAATCACAACAAGACTGAGATTGGTACGACATTCAAAACAGAAAGCTCTCCGCGTTGACGGACCTCGGCCCAGTCATAAGTCAGGGCGGCGCATCGCATCGCGGTACGTGAAAGGGAGCAATGGATAATGCAAGGTGTGTCCCAGCTGGGAGCTTACTGACTGACGTGCACGGATCGAAGCTGTGCGCATGTCCCGCTTCTAGTGGACCTTCGGACAAAGATGGACAGCCCTGCACGAGGCCAAAGCACAACATAGGAGTGTTGGATCCTGGATAAGTAGAGGACCCAAATATCTAGGTCCTGAGCTTTGCCGATGTTCGGGTCTTTTATTGACTAAAGTGGTTGACTATTATTAATATTATATTTTTCCTAAAAGAACAGATTTTAAACAAATATCCTTTAAATAATGAATATGTTTAGAAAATAAATTTCTAAAAATATTGAATATATATTTGTATTAGAATATCGTGATACGTTTTTCGTTATATGGTTTTGTTATATAGATATATTTATTATATATGTTTTTTACACATTTGTGTTATATGTTTTAGATGATTTTTGTTTGTTTGTTGTAATTTGGGTTTGTATTGAATAGTTGTAATTAAGTTGAAGTTGGGGAGGTATTTTGTATATTGTGTTTTTTGTTATAGATTTCGTTATATATCTTGTTATAGATTTATTATTTTATTTGGGTTAATGATTTCGTTTTGTGTCGTTGTTTGGTTGTGGAAATATGTTTTTTGTATTGTATTTTATTTTGTTTTGTTATAGATTTCGTTATAAAGCCGTTATAAATTTTGTTATATATTTGGGTTAGCAATTTTTATTTTATTTTTTGGTTTGTGTTGAATAATTATAATTAAGATGATTTATTATATATTCGTTATATAATCATTATATATATTGTTTTAAATTTAATTTTAATGATTTTGTTTGGTCGTAATTTGTATTGGATAATTATAATTAAGTTAGAGTTATGAATGATTTTGTTTTTTGTCGTAATTTGGTTTGTGTTGAATAGCTATAATTAAGTTGGAGCTACGGAAACGCATTTTGCATTCTGCGTTTTGTTTTGCCTCCACCATGTTATATAACCATTATATACCTCGTTTTGTTGCATTACATTGTGTTATTAATACTATTTGTTAGGAAATATTATGCCGTCATAGACCTGTGCAATAAGGATCTCCGTTATAGATCTCCGTAACAGGATTCGTGATACGTCGTGCATTATAGATCCCTAAAAAATCATAATTATATATATATATATGAATAGGTTAAATTAAATTATGTACATTAATAAAATGATTTTGAAATTAATATAATTATATAATTAATATAATTATATAATTAATATATTTTGATTTTGGTTAATAGATTTTAAAATAATAGATTTTATTTCTTTTATAAATATATTATATAAACATAATAAATTAAATATATTATTCATAAAATACATATATATGGTTCCGGTCGGCGAGCGGCCACCCCCCCCCCCCCCATTGGTATTTCTCCCCATTTGAGGTGGGGGTTGCTCGCCGACCGGGATACGACCCGAAGCCTTGGCCCTAATCGGAACCCACTAGCGGGCCCACAGGGGGGGGGAGCCATAGGGGGAGGAGGCGGGGAACCCCTATTTAAGGCTTTCATAACCATACATAATATATTATTATATTATTTCTTTTAAATTTAAATATATTAATTATTTATTAATTTTATATTCACTAGATTTGGTATATAATTTAATTGTAGAATTGAAATTGATTAATTTTATATATGGTTTCTAGTATTTTTTTATAAAGAAAATATTTATAATATAATATTGTATAATTTAAGTAATATATAATGTAATATTTAAATAATATATATAAATATAAAAATGAATATAAAATTTAGTCAATGAATATTATATTAATATATAATTAAACTATAATAGGAAAAGGAATTTAATGATTTCTAATTTGAAATAATATATATTTATGTATAAATTGAAATAAATTCCAATTTTATAATTTAAATTTAAAAAACAAACATAATATTATATTTGTTTATATAATATATTTAATTATAATTTAATTTATTTGATTTACTCGAAATTATATATTTATATATATTCTTTAAAAATTACTATTAATATATAAATTAAAAAAAAATAACATGTTATATATATTATTTTTTTAAAATTAAATATATTTTAAATAATCTATTTAAAAAATATCTAATGTATAATATATTAAAATTATCAAATAATAATAATAATATGGAATGTCTAATATAATCCAATCTTAATTATATATATATAATTTAAATAAAGAAATACATATAAATAATATTATATAGTATTTTATAATTATAATTGTTTATTTTAAATATATATTTTAATATTTAGCTCGATTATAATATATAATATAAATAAACAAAATTTAAAAGATTTAATAATTAAAAAAAAATATATTAAAATTATTATATTTTTAAAAAATCTATATATTTAAATACATCATAAATCAAAAAACATAGTTAAATAAACCATATTTATAGAATTTAATATTCTAATTTTTCATGTTTTTTCAAAAAATAATAAAAAATAAAAATAAATAAGTTCAATTTTTAAAATATTCAATAGAATCCAAATAATATCTAATATACGAACCATAACACAATAATAATTACAATCATAACCAATCAACATAATACACTAGATAAACATACAAACATCTTAATAAATTCAAATAATATTATAACGAACATATTATGAATAACATCATAATAATACCACAACCATAATGCCCCAAATAACACCCGTCCTAGCATCCTGCCATCATATGGGGGTTATCCTATATTCCTTTGCCCGCGATTGGGCCCTTGAGCCGCACTTGCACGGCACTTGCGCGTACTTGCGCGCGCACAGTGGCGCAGAAACTCGTTTTCGTTGACCTCGGTTTGCGAAGTTTTCGTGTGGATTGCGAGCAAGCTTTTCTAAGCAATGTGTTTGTCGTTCACACAGCAACCCACAAAGATTTTTCCCGTTGAGGTCGCTCCCGGCAATTCAATGCCAGCAACATACCCTTGACCAAACAGAAAGAACAGCAGGTTCTGCCACACAGCTTGGACACAGCCTGAAAGAAAGAAAGTGCATGTTACGAGTGCCTATCCATTGCTTAAACCGCGTCGCTAAGGACATCCGAGACAGCATAGCTAGATGTCTTGCTGGGGCTTCTCGTGCTTGCGCACAACTTGCGCGCGGCTTGCGCGGATTTTGTCGTGTCAATTACTAATCGTTGAAGTCATGACCGCAGAAGCTTTAGCTTCGTCTGGCGTCTAACTAATTCGAAAGGCATAAGTATAACAAGCAAATATCACCTCCTTTCATAAAACTAGGCAATATCAATATATGAGACCCTTCAAAATTATAACCTTGCGCGTCCCTTAGGCCGCACTTACACGCTCCTTACGCGCGCACAATTTTTACTTCTCCCTATTCGGCGATAATTAAAACCGAAAACTAGGATTTTAAGACAGCCCTCATAGCCAACACCAAACATATGCCCAAGCATATTATCACCAATATCTTTTTCGAACAATTCCCCAAATCCGCACCTACGCCAATACCCAAATATATTCCCAACCATCAATTTTACAAAACACAATTCCCCTTCTTCGTTAAAAATTAAAACCGCCTATGATTTAAACAGCAATCCAAAACAACCCTTACACCACCACCCCAAATTACATACTCTCCTTCTCTCCTTCTCTCCTTCTTTCCTTCTCTCCTCTCTTTCTCTCTTTATTTAATGTTAATCTTAATCTCTGTTTCTAATAATTTGAAGCTCTATTTCTTATTTTTATTTATCTCTTTCTCTTTCTTTTAATCTCTTTCTTTCTCTCACAATCTCTCTCTTTCTTTTTTTTTCTTTTTGATCTCATTTTATATCATCTTATCTCATTTTATCTTATCTAATAAATCTTATTTTATTTCATTCTCTTTTAATTTCTCAATCTCTCTCTTTCTTTCTTAATCTCTTTTTCTCTCTTACTCTCTCTCTCTCTCTCTCTCTCTTTTTCTCTCTCTCTTTCTCTTTCTCTTTAGAAGAATGTAACTTGGGGTGTTGGGCGGTCGGGGCCGGCCGGGCACACGATTTTGCGGTGTTGGTGGAGGTGCTGTTTGGTGCTTATGCTGTTGGGATGTTGTTTGAGATGCTGGTGAAAGCGTATTTTTGCCCGATTGATGGTTGCGTGTAGTTTGGGGTTGATATAGGTATTGTTTGGAGTGTTGTTTTGAGGTGTGTTGTTTGAGGTTTTGGGCATAATGTTTTGAGTTTGTTAGTGAGTGTAAGGGAGAAAGAAAGAAAGAAAGAAAGAAAAAAAAAGGAAAAAGATAAAAAGAGAAAAGCGAAAAAAAGAAAGAGGAAAGTCGGAAAGAAGGAAAAAGGGAAAGAAAGAAAGCAAGATGTTTTAAGAAATTTCGATTCGATTAAATCCAACCATTTCCGGAAATTTAACATTATTTTTTTAGGAAAGCCGGCAAGTTCTAAAAATATCTAGAAATCTAAGAGCCGGCTCGCCAGAAGCGAAGCAAATTCCAGGAAAATTTAGCCAGGTTATACCACGAGAAATCTCAGCGAAAATTTGCAAAACCTCCCAAAATTTCAGCAAAATTTCAGAGACTTCCGGGCCGCGCTAAGAAACAAGAGCTTACGCCGCAAAAAAAAAAAAAAGAGAGACTGAGACGGGCATAATCGCTCGCCGCAAGCACGACGATTCCGTCGGAATACCGTTACACGGGCAATGCAGTTTACGAGAAATACGACCTCGAAGACGCACCGGTTTATAAGAAGATATATAATAAATATATAATAAATAATATATATATATAATACATAATATATATATATAATAAATATATAACAAATATATAATATGTAGAATACATATATAGTGTATAATATATATATATATATGTAATAAATATAGCGTGCAGTTTTTTGTGCAAAATGTTGCTCTGTGCGGTCTCAATCAAAGCGGCTGCCAAGGCTATGCTGAAGCAGCAACGCAGTCTCCGAGTCTCATGATTAAAAGGCACATTCCGTGATCGGCGAGTTGGTGTCTCACTAAAATGCTCGGCTAATATTGAGAAATAAGAATGTGCTTTGGTTGCTCAGAGACAATGGGCAAGGAACCCACATCACACCTTCTGAATGCCTGCCTCACGTACGCCGCCAGGAAAACATGTTGTCACACAGCAAAATGCGTTTCGAAACACTACAAGTGACAAGTGACTCGGCAGGTCAGCTCAGTGAGGCTTGGACGGGTCGTGGAAGTGGAACTTCTCAACTCCCATGATGGGCATCAAGGTGTCAAAGATGAGGAACTGACCCGCGGTGAGAGTGCCAATCATAATGCACCTGGGTCCAAGGCCAGTGGTGCAAAGCTTCACGAATCCGGTCTCCTTGGCAATGTTGGCCAGGCGGGACACCATGCCGCCGTCGCCACCAGCGCCCTTCTTGTTGATCTTGGACAAGAGCGAGTCAGCAGGATGAGAGATGATGGCTGCTGCCACTCCAGCAATGAAGCCGGAAGTCACGGACACACCCATTTTCTGCCCCTTGCTCATTTCCTCGCGCTTGTAGGGCAGAGCCTTGTAGATTTCAATCTCGGTAGTGCCCTGCACTGCAAACTTGGCCATGGTGTATGGGATCTGCTTGCAGAGGATGGGGAAGAAGCCCGCATACCAGCCCATAAGGCCCTCCCTCTGCACCAAGGTCTGCATGGCGGCCAGGGTGCCCTTGGGGAAGGTGGGGTCAGACACCTGACGAATGCGTGCAGCCTCGAGTGGGCACAGGAAGATGTCTGCGATGAACTCCGCACAAGCTGAGGCTCCAAGCATGATGGGTGTCTTCATGTCCCATGCCTTCTGGTCACCCAACGACTTGGTAAACTGAATCTTGAAGAACTCGTTGCCTCCAAACTTGAACCATCCCTGCACAAAGTAGCCCATCGCAGTAGGTCCCAAGCCTGTTGCGAGCACCGAAGCACCCTCCTCAGCCACAACTTGCCTGCCCACGCTCAAGAGACCACCCTGGTACTTCACCGGGTCAAGCTGGATGCGCGTCTTCACCACATCTACAGGGCACAAGGCGCCGTGTGTGATGGAGCAGCAAATGCCGCCACACAAGGCACCGTTGAGGTAGTACTTGCCATCGTACTTGCTCCAGTTGTACACCATGATGGCTTCAGAGGTTAGCACGCGATGAGCTACAACCACTGTTGAAGCAAGCGCTTGCGGTATTCGACAATGCACACAGTTGCTGCCTTTTCATGTTCAGGGCACTGGGCTGTTTCGCGCAAGCCTGCATGCTGATTACCACTTCTTTTCCAGCCAGACGATTTTGGTCCATACTCGCGATCGACGCTGGGCATTTCCTGGTGCAAGTTCTCAAGGGAAATAGAATCACGGTAACAGCGTGTGTATACAAAATCTACAACCACTCTAATCCATGCCTGGAATGGAGTATGTTGGCTTGCACTGCTAGAAACATCAGCAAGTCTCTCCCGACTAGGTGGACAAAGACATGATGATCCCAAGACTCTACGTCTGTGTCACACACACACACACACACCAAGGAGATAAGGCGCACTGCAGCAGACCTCCACATGTGAATCGTGGGCTGTCAGAGATTGGCCCTTGTGAGATTGTCATCCACACCAACGTAATTGCGCGACCTTGGGTAGCTCTGACTATGTGTCAGTGAAAGGCGGTGATAGGCTAACAGTGCACACCAGGTCACTACCTGTGGTTGTTTAAGGCTCCCCAGGTGGTTGTTGCTTAACTATATGAGCCCAGTCTATGACACTCGCGTCTGCTAGGAACAGTCAGAAACAAAGTGGTGTCAAAAATGCCACGGTCTAATCTTCTATCAAATCGTCTGAACTCTGCCTTCTGCCCCTTGCTCAAAATAACTTCTGCGGGCCTGTGTCTTGACCACATGCCTCTCAAGCCTCTCGCTGTGTGCGGGTTGAACATTTTTGCACCTGCAAGCCCAGAAGTTCCAGAGACGCCTTTTCAAACAGCTCCCAAGCTGTCAAACCTTTTTGGGTGCTCTCTTTGGGCTGGTGCGAAAGGGAAAGTACAGGGAAATTCGCTGAAATCACCCACTGGGGGGGGGGGGAGTAAGACACACCCCCAGCCTTCAGCGGCCCCGCCGCGCGATGGCCAGGCGCTCGCGCTTCGTGAGCCGCGCGGCGCCCGAGCGCCGGGGCGGCTGGCGCAGCCGCGCCTGGAGCTGGGGCCGGTGGGGCCGGTGGGGGGGGTGGGCGGAGATTGGAAGAGACTGGGGGGGGTGGGGGGTGGGTGGGGGGTGGCCGGTGGTACCTGCTTTTTGTTGGGGTTGGGTTGGGTTTGGAGAGGATTTGGACCCTTTCGAGACAATGTGCGGGACTCTCTCGAGTGGCTGGATTCAGATTTGGTCGAAGGACGGCAATACCATCACAACTTGTCAACCCCTAAGACTGAAACCAAGGTTGTCGGAATGCCTTCGCGAAGAAGCAACACAACACCAAACCTGGGAACCCCGTTTTTCATTTGGGTTCCGGTGTGGTTATCTTCAAGCTGAAATAGCAAAGCAACAACCGGCAACAAAGTGGGATGTCCCCTCCCCAAGGTGGGACGCATGATGACTGTATATCTTAGGGCATAGGTGGGATTCACAAGTGCAGCAAAACCGCTTGTGAGCAGTACGGTGCAAGTGAGGTGGAACTTGAGGCTCACAGAACTTGAGGCTCACTCCGGTCTCAGAATATCAAGGCAAAAAGGCATGTGCGAAGAAGAAAAAAAAAGGTGAGACAAAGAAGACTGCAAGGGCCCCACCTCGGTCTTTTTTGGTTGGTGCCCGGTCGCGTTTCGTTTCCGGATGTGGTCCGGAAACCCCTCCTGCAGCTGCTGGAAGAGACCCCACAAGGCTTTCCGCGGGGCCTGGGCAGGACGGGAGGAGCGAAACCCCAGGTGAGCCATAATCAAAACCCGGCACTATGGTCGACCCAGAACCATGTCAAGAATGAAGAAGGCGGCCGCAGGTATTTATGGTTGGGATTGTCCCTTACTAACCGGATCATCTACCCTGGTTTTGATTGTGGCTCAGGTCTCTGGGATTGGGTAAGACGGCGCCGGGCAGACCGCCGCGCGTACAAGATCCTCCTCCTGGTCCTCGTCAAGCATCAGCTCTGCCTGGCGGGCGAGGCCAAAGAAAGCCAGCACTGTTCAGCGCCAGAAGCGGGCGGAGGAATGTGGCAAAATGGGTGGCTGAAAAAACGAGGCTCAAAATGGAACCCGGGTAAATGGCAAAGTCGACTAGAACGTGCGGTCCCCTGGCTCAAATGGGACACATGTTTTCCCTTTGGTGGCTTTGGAAGGGAAATCAACTGGCAGGGTTCAAGAGAGTTGCCACGCGCCTCCCTGGCTGCTCGCTTGAGCCAGTTCTGCTCGCTAGACTGCTTGGAGGTTTGGTGAACCTCGCGCGAGGAAAGTGGTCTCTGCCATCCCGTTGGAGGCATCAGTTCATGCCGATAGGACGATTCGGTTGGACACCTTGATATGGACAAGTAGGCTTGGCCTGGGCTTACCATTTTTCGCCACCGCATGCAAGAGTGGATCCCAAAACGGTGTTGACAACCACAGCCAACTGGCCTTCTTCTCCAGCTCTGCTGCCAAACGTGCTGCCTAGCCGATGCCACGAACTGGACACTGGCTTGCCATTCGGTCTGGGGCCTTTGTTTTTGCCTCGAAGCCGCACTTTCTTTCGCGCTCTGCAGCAAAAACAGCAACCGGACATGCGGCATGCCTCTTTGGCAGCCGAGATCTCCTCTGCAAAGACCTCCACTGCTTCGGTGTCCTCCTGGAAGAATCGAACATCGCCAGGCCAACACGATGGGCTTTCCTACTGAGTTCCACTGTGTGGCAGGTCGAGAGCTTCATACTCCTTCGCGATGCCGACAGCCTGGTAGACCTGCAGAGCGCGCAAGACCACTTCATGGCTCCTTCTTGAAACCTTCTTTGACTGCCAGCTACAGTGACAGCCTGCTTGCAACATGCAATGGCTCTGGACTCTGGGAGGCGTAGATACTGCATCCATGACCTCAAGACCTGCTGCCCGTCCAAAGCTGTGCAGCCGCGCCCTTCTCCAGTGCTCCACATCTCCAGGCGCCACGAAGGCAATACTTTGTCCTTGCGAGCCAATGAGCGTGGCCCGACCAAAAGCGCGCGCACCGAAACGTGCCACGTTGGCCAGTGTGCCAAGCCGCACAGATCTCCAAAAAATCCGATGCGACACGTCACCCGGTCCTTCACGACCAGCCCTGGCAGTGCGCCCACTTCTGTGCACAAAGACTTCGGAGCCGCGAGGCGCCTGGCAGAACGGATCTGGGAGAAAAAAGCAGCGGGCCATTCCCAGGATATGATTCGCAGACACGACGTCTTGTACGTGACGGCTTTGCGCAGCGCAGCTCAAGATAGCAAGGCTCAGAAAGGCATTTGATGGTTACTTGAACGAACGATTGAATGAGCAAGCGGTGGTGAAAGACTTTCCGTCAGGGCTCATATATGACGCAACCCCAAGCACTGCTCAGCACTGCCAGCTGCCTGCAAGCTCTGACTGTGACCGGCCTGGAAGTGCAGGACTGCGGACACATCCGGCACGTCCAAGCCTCACAACTTTTCCAATGGCACCCTGCAAAGACGCGCAAGGTGTGCCTCGTGCAGCGATGTCAGTGCACACGAGCACGGCGTCCTACGCCACGAACTATCCCAAGTAGCTTGGAATGATTTCCCCGGTGCAGTCTTTGCGATGGCTCTCCATGCACAGCCCTGTCCTTGAGCTTCCGGAACCTCTCGATGCGTTTCAGGCGGTCCTAAGAGCGGAGAAGCAAGGAACTGGTAACTGGTTTTTGCAGAGCGACCTTCTGCTGCTGCCTGCTTACTGGTAACTGGCAACTGGTAACTGGCAACTGGTTTGCACTGTCTCCTTCTGCCGCATCTTGGAGTGAAGATCGAGGACATCCACTGTGCGTCCCGGAGGAGCGCTTTGCTTGCCTCGGGTTGCTGCCTGCTTGGTTGGGGGAAATCTGGATAAGGTTGGACATCCATAGACCAAAGAGAGACTCTCAATGAAGTCAGTTCTGTGTTATAAGGACAACCTAGATAGAGGCCACTTTGCTGACTATCCTGTCCGGGATCTGCGGGAATGGAAAAAAGGCTGCATGGATAACTGGGAACCACGGTCTTGCAACTGGTCTGCAAGCTCGGCCGGCCTCCTTGCATTCTGACTTTGGATAGCACCTGCCACCCAGGCAACCACAACGCACATCTTTGTGCAAAGGCCCTGCAAAAGAAACCAAGGTCAAAGGCAACAACTTCATATCAATGGGTCCTCATGTAGGGTAGTCAATCACTGACAAAAGGTAACCAATGTACATGAGACTGCCCTCTGTGCACTTTCGTGCCAGCCTTCTTCTATCCAAAAGCAAATCTGCTCCGCCACCACACCGCCGCCTGTTTTGTGAGTCCTGCACAAACCTAAGTCCCAAAGGAGCTCCCAGAAGTTCCGGCCTTGGACGCACTGGGGCTCTCGAGCAACAGAGCCAAGACCTCAGATTCTCCCATCAGAAAGCCTGGCCTTCAGCCGAAAGGCCACCTAAGTCTACAGCAAACGAATCTCACTCCCCGGTGGCTTTCAGGAATTGAGCGAGCCATCCCCGGTGGCTTTTTGCCGAAACATGCAATCGGTCCAGTCCGGATCAGACGCAGAAACCCACACAGAAAGGCCTGACGTAAGCCAAGGGGCTGAGGAAAGTCTCTGGACATAGGAGATGGCGTTCACAAAGAGGATCACGCGCCTGCGTTGGGGGCGCGATGTTGCCGCAAGAGGTTACACGTGGCAACATGAGCTATCTCCAAAACTAAAAGGTGCAAGAACAGAATCTCTCTCGTTTTAAAGAGTCGCCTTCGTTCTACAGGGTTTTGGCCCAATTCGACCCGAATACATGTCCTCGAGGAGGAGTATTTTGGGGATCCCTCATGTCTCAATTGTCAGCGTCTCCTATTCAATCGGAAACAAAGGGAAGGTGGCAGTTTGGAGGCTCCTTCAGTTGGATACACAACGGTGTCAAACATCTCTAGGTGCTGAGCCGGGCTGATACTGTGGACCTTGAATTGCACTGGGAGAGAAACTGATCAGTGAAACATGTCAAACGGATCACAAGCGCAAGTGAGTCTCGGCCGCCTGTTTTACCGGGATGTCTCGCAAGAATCTAACCACCCTGTCACGCTGCACAAATGGAGCGACAATGACAAATATCCGTGTTGATTGCACTGTCAGTTTTGGTGTCGCGTTGGCTTGCACCGACATTTCCACCCCAAGAAGTTTACAACTTGTGTATGCAGACATATGTAGCAGTGTTCCAGAAAAGCGCCCATGATCGCAGTCGAGAACAAATCACGAAGCCTAAGGCTCACCGTGATGGAGTGCGCAAGGCACACGCTGATGTTGAATTCGTTGCAAGGATCCACAAGCGAATGCCCGTCTTGGTTCAACAGCTGCAATCAAGTCTAAAGCTGCATTTCAGATATTCCAAACGCCAAACGTTCTTGATACACATTGACATAGATTGAGACTCAGCAACCCTTGTAGGGCACTTGTGGACCAAAGGCATGCTGTGGACAAAGTCAACCATGCAGTTCACGCCTGCCAAAGAAAACCAGCTGCAACTGGCACACGCGGCACACCCCTGCAAAAAGATGAAGAGGTAGCTTAGTTTTGAGGGCAGGCCAAACGCCTCAGGCGACTCGGCCACAGTTTGCCTGCTCTTAGCTGGCACCGAAGCAATGGCGCTCCGATGCAAGATGAATTGCCTAGATTCCAAGGAGTCACGCTGGATATCTTGAGACAGTGGCTCCATTGCCAACTCCTCGGAAGCCCTACTGCTAGAGCGCTCGCACCACAGGGAAGCTTGCATTCCTTGACTGTGCCCTTTGCTTCCGCAGTGATGCAATGAGACCTTGACATAGACTGACCCAATTGGGCATGTCCAAGCCATGGGTCAATGGCTAAAAACTGGGAACGAGTCCACCATGCACATCCTTGGCTCCCAGCCTACCAAGAAGTAGGTGAATTCATGTTCCTCTGTGCTAACGCCTGCACGACTCCCTTCAGGAGTTGGACAGTTGAGATGGCTCCGGTGCTTTGGGGAGGTCCGTCAACTCAAAGGCTGGGGTCGAAGTTGGGAAGGGAACTGAAGCCATGAGTGGCAGACTTGATACGTTTTGGGCTGTCGGACCTGCTGAAACTGGAGAATACACGGGGACTTACCTTCGGCTGGCATCACTCAGGACAAATGCCTTGCAAGGCCTCCAGCAGCATTGCCGCGCTTGGTCGAATCTTGGCCTTCGCTCCTCATGGGCCGACAAGTCCGTGCCGCGCAAGATGCGCCGTGCAAAGTGCGAATGCCAACTGTTCGGGTGACAAGGCATGGGATGCTCGGGTGTGTCCTGGAGCAAACTCCACGTCTTTGAGACAAATGTATAGCCGGGGTTTTGCTCCAGGGGGAACTGATGCTGGTGAGGCATGGCTTCCAGTTTTGGCTAGCATTGATGATCTCATATATTGGCTGGAGGCTCAGACCGTTGGGAAGATGATTGCGCTTGCTAAGCTGATGATTCATGTCTTTCCAGGCTTGCTTGTCACCCAATGCCGCTGGTGTGCCATTCGGTCAGCTTGGTTTTGATGGCACTGGTGCAAGGTTTGCCAGAATTTCAGCTGGAGTGGTGGCATGGGCTTGGATGTTGTGATAAGTGATAACTGGCTATTGTTTGTGGGCACTTGAAGGACAAAGATTGAAGCAGGACTGAGCGCACGCAAGCAGAATCAATGAACGGATTGACTGCCATCAAGAGCGTGAAGCGCCAGTTCAATGTTGAGAAACCTGAATGTGACAGTAAACTACTCTTGCGGGGGACAATCAAAACAAACACAAACACACACTTGCTGGTGGCTGCCGGCAACTTGCAGTCTGGTAAAAGGAAGTCATACTGTGGACGGACGAACTCCTGCCCCACCTAAAAAACTCTGATTCGAGAACCCCCAACGACAAATTCCAACAGAAACCTTCTGGTTTCATTCCCGCGGTTTCATTTGATTCCCTTGTAAATACCAGCAAACCTTCCGGTTTCATTCCCATGGTGTACCTCCATCCACCCTGGCGGATCCGAGCCTCGCTTGAGGTCGATACTCAACGCATCCGACGCGACGCGACGCGATGCGGCCCGGCGCCAAGCGTCGAAGGCAGGCCGCAAGGAGCACCCGTGCCCTGGGATCGGCTCGCTCGGGAATGCTCGGCCCCCGCTTCTTCACCTCCGCTCATGGGCCACATGCGGCAACGCCGGACCAAGAAACCCAGGGGGAAACGCCGGTAGAGAAGAGAAAGCACGGACGAGACCCGTAGGTTTGGATTGCTTTGCCGGTGGGGTTGGGGTTGGGGGGTTAGGGGGGGGGGGTGGAAAAAAAGGGGTTTTCCCGGGAAGAACCTGCAAATATTCTTGAGATGGAGATGGCTGAGGCGGCCAGCCTTATGCATCAAGACCCCTGGCTCGAGAAGCGTCCAAGTCGCCACCAGCTCTGTTATGATTGCGGCCACACTCTGCAAATTTGCAAAGGGGATCACCTGGCAGTACCTCGGGCAGTGCAAGCTCTGCACAACATGAACTGATTGGGGCTCCGTCTTTTTCTAGAAACCAGGGCTTGTGTGTGGAAGCCGCCAAGGAACTCCAGTCTGTGGTTTCTATAGCTTCAGCCGTGGCACAGCTCCATCAGAACACAGCCCATCTGCCAAATGTCCACCTTCTCAGTGATCTTGGTCCTGAGCCGAAGCGCCTTCATGAAGTGGGGCTGTTGATCAAAAGGTCCTTTATGAATATGGGATGAGAATCAGGGAAACCACAAAGACAAGATGACTGCACCACATGGAAAAAGCTACCCATGGTCAAAACTGGGGTCCTTCAAGGGAAGATTAATCAACCCCCACAGAACCTCACTGCTTGACCCGAAAAAAATGTGGCCATGGGTCAAAAGCCCGGTTATCCCCCAGTGAACATCCGATTCAATCCCCACGAAAATAGGTTCTAACATGGGTGGTGAATTCACCTACCAACCAAACATTGGTTTTGACCCACAGAACACCATAGGTGTCCTTTTAGGGCACATAGATGGCCCTGGTAGATGATGAAACCACCAGGTAAACCAGGAATCGCCATCTATTTTTCCACCGCAAACCAAAAAGGACACCTGCGACAGACCGTGGAACCCCCAAACTGGGTCTTTCTCTTTTAAAGGGACACCGCACTTTTAACGGGAACGCGGCCATGAACTTCAGCCACGCCCAAATTTGTCACCCCGGACGCCGAAAGCTTCGGCCAACATTCCGGGTCTCGGCTTGTGCTCGCTGGCATCCAGCTGCTCCGGGGCCATGTAGCGGGGAGAGCCCTGCAGGCCCCAGACCTCGTGCCAGGCCAAAAACGTGGCCTCGCACAAAACGTCCACGGAAATCCAGGATAAAAGGTATAAAAATGATGGATAAAATGCGTAAAATTGATGGATAAGATGTATGAAATTGATGTATAAACCATGAAATCCATGAGATCCATGAGATCCATGAAATCCATGAAATCCATGAGAAAATGTATAAACAGGTGGCCATCAATACACTTTTAGAAGAAGTACATAGTGGCCTTTATGGCGTTCCAGTAGGGTGTCCTATATAGAATGTAGAATCTTGAACATGGTGGCCATCAATTGAATGTAGAATCCTCATCCCTCATTGATTCGGCAGGGCTCCCTATAATAACATCAGCACCAAGGGAGACGCACCTGTGGACCAAAAAGGTGAGGGTTTCAGTGCAACCGACAAAAAAAGAACGGGACAGCAATCAGCCAGGCTGCCGTCATGTGCGTGCGCTCTAGGGTGATTGTCAACCCAAAGTCGCAAATCTTGCAATTCCTTAGCTTCACGCTGCCAGTGTGCGTGTGTGTGCGACACTGGCAGCCGAAAAGTTGGACACAAACTGAGCCAGGCGGCATTATGCTCCATGCAGCCAAGCATCAAGTCATCGTCAAGGATAACGTTGGCAGTCTTGAGATCCCGATGCACCTTACAGAACCGTCTTGAAAGCGCCGATAGATTCACGGCTGTGCATGACACATCGGTGCTGAAGCTATGCCCCGTCCAACTGCCAAGGTGCCACATTTAGGTCGTGCAGAAAGGCAAGGCCCTCTGCAATCTGACGCGCCATCAGCGACTTCCTCTCAAACCTCAGGATTCTGGTCACAAGAAAAAGCTGGTCAAATGGGCATGCTCTCATCTCAACATTCTTGGACAGTTGACACGATGTATCCTAGATTCTGGAGATTCACAAACCACTGATGAACGAGGCGCGAAAGTGTCATCTTCTTCGTGAAGAGGATGTGTTGCAAGGATCCGCCGGACATGAACTCCATGACAATGATGACCTGCCCATCACCAGAGCTCTCTCACTGAATTGAAACTATCTGGAGGCACGTGTGCGTTTGAGGGCAGAACTGGAACAGCCGGACAGATTTCAAGTGCTGGCTGCTCTTCCCCAGACTGATATCTCCACTCACTGCGCCTGTCCAACGTCCCGCGAGAAGCCCAAGAAGGAGACGAGACGTGGATGCCGCATCTTGTGCAGGTAGCTGATTTCCTCCTGAGCGTCAACACATTCTGCGCACAGCTGAAAATCTGAAAGAGTGACCAAGCCTATCAGTAAATGCCATGATGTCTCTGCAGAATACGGTTGTACACGCTGTATTGTGACTGAAGGACTG